GGAAAATGATAAAGTTGTCACAAAAAGCCATTTTCATTTTGTTTTTGAACATAGAATCAGTTTTATTAGTATCATACGACAAAAACTGCATTGCCAATGAAAATAATGATCACAGAAAGAATGTAGGCCTTCGTCCATTAAAAACATATAAAATCTAATTTCAGTTTTAAAATCCATGAGTATAAAATGTCAGAGCAATAAGTTGAAAAAAACGGAAGTTAAACTAGCTATGTAATATTGTATTTCAAAGCGAATCATATATAACCAGAAACATTAATCTTTTCTGAACAAAAATGAGGCTGCTGATACCCAAGATACAACAATAAGACGCACAACAGTCTACAAAAACACTCCATAGAAAACTAAAAAATGAGCAACTCGGACCCAACCAAAATACCAGGCTGTGATCTCATGTACCACGGAAGGATAAACAAACGTGGGGTGGTATAATGGAAAAGATGAAATGAACAAGTGAAAAAAAAACATGTGTATAAGGACTTCTCTCAGTATTAAATAAAAACAACATCTGGATTCATTTCTCTTTTGTGGCGTTTGTATCCTGATTCAGAGCCGTATACTTCACACCCCTTTAAATCATATGATTGGTAGCTGAAGACAACACCATAAATAGAAGTGCAGATGATCTTCAAAGGAGTTGCGATCATAATAGCACTTTGCTCTTTACTTGATGTGCTGATACAGTCACAAGGAGCAGTAAACAATTTTATTACTCAGTATTCTCTTAAGATACATATTGAAATTAATATAACCGATAATGTTTACTTCGAAATAGCAACTCGTCTGAATTAAAGCCAAGTCTGAATTAATTCATAGATTCAATTTAAAAAGTTGGATTTTTGTGATCATTTTCAAGATAAAAGAAATTACACAATATATATCGTAGTCTTTTGTGATAAATTTTTTAATTAGTATCGGGAAAATGAAATATCTTTACAAATTACGATACAATCGGATTAAGTGTATAATAGTCGTTTTTGGTTTTCATTTTTGCAAGTCTCTTTATTGAGATGAGTCGGTGGTTGTTGTTTTATGTTTTACTGTCTAGAATTGTTGCTTAATCCCACTGGTAATTCCTATTGTTCCTCCTATGTATTATTTGGATCAACGGATAATTAAAAAAAACATCATTTGTTAGAGGGACTGTGACAGTTTCGGTACAACGAATTACTTGCAACTTTCTTAAGTACAGAAATCAAAATCTGTCTACATATATATATTACAAACCATCAAGCCTTTAATTTTAGCTTAGATTAATTTTTTTCGGTAAAATTGGCAAAAAAGCAACATGCAAGTTGTGTTTTTTATTTTCATTTTTATTTTTATTTTTTCGTTTTTCAAGAAATGGTCCTTTATTTACCGTTTGAACGTGTAACCTTTTACGATCCTCAGAAATATAAGGACATTATTTAATTCATTCGTTTCATGCATGAAATATTTCACTCCATAGATTAAGAGAAAAAAAATCATTATATTACAATCAAATCTCCTTAAGAGAAGTTAAAGATATCATTCATTTGTAAGTCATAACTAATATAGCAAAAATTGTAAGTTAACATCAATACCGTAAATCTGTATTAAATATAAACGCTAAAATAATGTCAGTATAAATATCAATCATATTAATATTAATTCCATATATATGTCAATTTTCCAACTGTGCTTTATCAAAAGTAATATGTCAAGTCATTTTTCGCATACGTAAATATACTTGTTTAAGTGAAAAAAATACAGAAGTATACCATAGAGACAAAATCTGTATGTAATTATTAGCATACAACACAAACAACTGGCATTGCGGATTTTTATTAACAATATACAGCAAGGTCATTGAGTCAAAAACAAAATAATGATGGAACTTTTTCTTTATTACTTTGATTATAGTGCGTACGTACTATGTCAGTATTTACTATCTACCTGTAATATGTTCAAAGAATATAGTTTTAAATTGAATTTAAAAGAAAGAAAGAATTTCTAGTGAAAAATGATATGATATTGCAAGGAAAATATTATGGAAACACCTAATGGCCAACAGTGGGTAAATGTGCACGACCCTGTCCATATTCATGATCAGTAAGCGTCTCAGTAATTGTCATTTTTTTATATCTTATTGTTTTGTCTTTTCGGGAATTTGGCAGATCTTTGATAGCATTTGTTATCCTTCTTTTCGCTGTTATAAAAACGGGACAACTTAGAGCTTGACATACTTTATTACTTTATAATTTTACGTTCCGCTATATAGATGATGTTCTCTCACTAAATAATACAAAATTTGGTGACTATCCCATCGAACTAGAGATAAAGGATACTACAGATACAGCTAAGTCTGCCTCATATCTTGACTTACATCTAGAAATTGACAATGAGGGTCGGTTGAAACAAAACTTAACGACAAAAGAGATGATTTCAGCTTCCCAATTGTGAACTTTCCATTTCTATGTAGCAACATTCCAGCAGCGCCTGCATACGGAGTATATATCTCCCAATTGATACGATATTCCCGGGCTTGTATTTCCTATCATGATTTCCTTGATAGAGGATTGCTGCTCACAAGGAAGCTATTAAACCAAGAGTTCCAAATGGTGAAGTTGAAATCATCCCTTCGTAAATTTTACGGACGCCATCACGAGTTGGTTGACCGTTATGGGATAACCGTTTCACAGATGATATCGGATATGTTTCTTATGTCGTAACTACAATACCCTTCCCTTTTCACGAATGTGACCTACCGAATTAGACTATTTACCGGATTTGTAATAACATAAGCAACACGACGGGTGCCACATGTGGAGCAGGATCTGCTTACCCTTCCGGATCACCTGAGATCACCCCCAGTTTTTGGTGGGGTTCGTGTTGCTTAGTCTTCAGTTTTCTATGTTGTGTCATCTGTACTATTATTTGTCTGTTTGTCTTTTTATTTTTGGCCATGGCGTTGTTAGTTTGTTTTCGATCTATGAGTTTGACTGTCCCTCTGGTATCTTTCGTTCCTCTTTTATAGGTGTTTTTTTTTACCTCTTGTTGGTTTTTTGTGTGTCGTTGGATTACTGTTCAAGTGTATTATACTCAGCATCTTCGTTTAATTATTCATAAAATGTACATCTTATATATACCCCATTATGATTCCATCAACGTCTATTTTTGTTTTTACAACATTGTTTTCCATACAAGTACCATAAGCGAGCTTTCTCTCGGTTAAACAAACCACACTGATTCATGAACCAATAGAAGGAGGGTTATGAAATCATCCCTGTTTAAAATGTTCTAAATTGTAACGAAAAGCGTCTATGACATGTAGTGGAAAAGTTCTTTATTTAGAAATTGCCAAGGTTTTACTATCCCTAGTGAGAATTACTTATTGACTTGTTTACAGAAACATTAAAGTCAATCTGATTATACAGTTGAAATTATGTTTAATATTTAAACGTAGGTATACTTAACAGTTTCCGGGGTTTTATTTTGCATTCCATTAAAATAATCAAAAATAAATAATTTAAAAGCAAATTTACTTGTTTAGCCACTGGAAATGCATGTTATTCATTGTGTGAGAACATTAATTGTTTAATTTATTGTGATATCCCAAACATATTAATGTTTTTGGCAAACAATTTAATTAAAAACAATCAATTTTCGGAACGACATCTTTTCAAAATTAAATACAAATGTAACTTTAGAAGCAGGGCTTTTCATGAATTTATTCCATCACAAAGGCCTTTTTTCAAATTTACAAGATTTTTACAATATGACAGCGTCGTGTGTGTCTTTTTGTAATGGTTGTGATCATGTTACAAATTTACCAATGCTTAAAGGTGGTTCGAATATCTATGACAGATTTTTAAAAACTAATAAAATAATATGTGGTAATATGTAATAATATATTATTTCTTGTATACTGAATTTTATGTTTGTCTTCAAATGCAAACCTTTTTAACTTTGTAAAAATCTATCAAAGTGTTCTCCATCACCATTGTCTAGTGCCGAAAATGATTCGACCTATATATTAGAAAAGTTTTATTTAAATTCTGTAAATTACTTTTAAATCTGAAATCCTCAACACCAAATTATATGGTGTACGGAAAACAAGGTCGCCATCCGATCGACATAGATATAAAAGTTAGAGCAGTATTACTTTGGGCAAATTTGATATCCGGTAAAATAGCAAAGTTTTCCTTTATATTATAACAACTCTATCGCCATATGAACGCTCACCAAAGCATGCAGACTAAATATATTCTATTTTTTTCAAAAATATTTCAAAATTGTGGTTTGAATTTATAAATTGGAAACACAAAATTGCATTGATAAATATTCGTTGAAAACTGTTATAAAGCAAAGATTGTTAGACCAGTTTCTTCAAAATTGGAATTCGCTCATCCAAAATTCACAAAAAGGTATTAGTTACATTTGTTTAAAAGAAAAACTGGGAATTCGATGACCTTTTTAATATGTTGAACTTTAGAGATGCTTTTGTTCTCTGTCAACTTCGAACGGCTATTGCCGTGTCGTCAACCTATTCATTAACCGTGGTTTCTTTTTCTAAAATCAACACTTCCTAAATCTCTCGGAGAAAACAAGGAGAATACTGACATCTTATAGTCATGGTGAACCTACTTTTCATCTGGTGTTTAGTTGGATTCGTGGTACTCATTATTAGTTTTTGCGTTTGTCCGATCATTTTCTGGCTATATATAGTTGTGTCTGTATTTCTTTGATTCACACCGTCAGTTTATTCACTTACAATAGTACAAAAGTTATTAAGCCTCAGTATATCCTTTAAAAAAGTATATTTGAATGAATGATTGTGCATACTGTACAATTTTTCTTATCAAAGCGACCTTTTTAAATTACTTCCGTCTCAAATGTTATTATAAAGACTTATTCAAGAAAAATGGTGCTGTTAATGTACTATTCATTATATATTGTTTTACTTCTATTACTTGCCTGCCTGTTATAAAATCTTTATAGGTTATATTTAACATTTTCAGATATATCCATCTAAAGTGGTAGCATTGAATGGAAATCGGTGGAATTTAGGTCAGGCGACGGCAGCTGTAGTAGAATCTCATTACTTACCAAAGACATGTTTTATCATAGACTATTACCACCTGAATGACCAGTTTCTGGAGGGATTTGTCTCTAAAGCAGGCAATTACGAATTCAACAATACTCAAATTATCATTTTCAGAGATGAAGAAGACATCTCAACGTTGTCTCTCAAACTCACACAAATTAGAGAACATGGGTACAGACTCATCATTGCTCACATTAAAAACACTAAAATCAAGACAGTGTTCCAGTTGTGTCAGCAACAAGGCTACTTTGAACCCGGCTATGCTTGGATTTTGTCTGACATGTCAATGCCGGCGTCTGACATCGAAGAAAAGTTTTATCCTTCTGGCTTATTGGCATTACAAAGCCAAGAAATTGACGGATTGGACTCATTGATTGAAAAGTCTCTTATTTCTATTTCTGATTTTGTAGAAGAAATTAACTCACTTGGTGATAAAAAAATCATAAACAATAATTCTGTGTTCCGTGACCAGGTTGTCAGGTAATTGTTTAATTTCTACGTTTTTGCAATCTTTGATTTTTATTACGTTTCAATTTAATGGCAGAACAAATCAAAAGATCAAAACAACTATCATTATGCAATAAAAACCCAAGAAATGACAAGTTGATAAAAACATAGTTTATATTTTACACCACAAATGTTATATTACTGTCCGTCGTGATTGATATGGTAATTTCCAGACAATATCGAAATTCTTCGTTTTCAATTGGCTGTATAACAGAACATTGTTTTATAAAAAAATAATCTAAGTAAATCTATAATACTTGTTGCTTTTGGTGATACTCATAATTTTTTTTTATCAAAATTGCGTAGGATGACGAGATCTGACGCCAAAATGATTGTTAGTAAGTATAGTAAATAGAAATGACCTTGTGCATTATATATGAATAATACCCAGGGCTTTCCATATACCCTTTTACAGTTGTTTTATTCTGACTACATAACTACGTCTTTATTATTTAATCACCATATCAATTTTTTACATAAAAATAAACAATGAAAAAAGATAAAGGAGTACGAACAATTTCCCCTGGATGTGTTTCACTCACAGGGTTAAAATCTTAAATTTGTCAAATCAGACTGGAAATGAATATTGTAGGGTCTATATAATAATAATAATAATAATAATAATAATAAATTCTTTTATTTATACTTAAAGTGTTTCTCAACTTCATTTCATAATATAACAAGTTATTCAGTGCTACATGTTGCTGTTGAAGCCATTTTAATACAAAATTACAAAATTACAAATTTTAAATGAAGGACATCGCTAAGCAAAATTAATTCATTTGAATCCGAAAGATGAAAGTTTACTTCAAACAGAATTTTGAATTTTTTAAACGATGTCCTTCCAGCACATTTTTGGAATAACTACCTAAGTTTTGCCGAAATCTTTAAAAATTACAGTCTTGGGCATTCATTCTTCAAGTGTTTATAAATTGATGACCTGTTCAGAAATAAGCTAACAATTTGGTCTCTTGTGGAGAGTTGTCTCATTGGCAATCATACCACATCTTTTTATTTTTATATAACAATATTGTTTGAACCTTAAAGTACACATATTTGTCGGTGATGCTATGAATTTAAGTAAAGATTGAAAGACTCTTTTGAAAATGACCATGACGAGAAATATATTAGGGGGAAATAGGCCCTACTTTTTTTTTTATCAAAACGTATAACAATACAACCTGACAAAAAAATGAAAAACGTCAACAAGATCAATGATTAAGTATTTATCGGTTTAAAAAAAACCGGATTAAAAGAAAAAGGGAATAACAGGTACCATCATTTTCGTCCCTCTTCACAAATATAAACACAAAAACAATAAAATAAAAACCAATAAATGATAACATATTTATTTTCTTGGCAAGTTTTGCTAAACATATAAGGACATGTATAATCACTTTTTTCCCTAGTTCATAACCGTTCTGAATTTGAATAAATTAAAACACCATAGTGTAAAATGGTACGAGAGACTAAACAATACGTCACAAATAATACCCATTTTATGGTGAAACTGCATTTTTCGTCAGTATGCATACAAATAAGAATATGTGATATCATTGCCAATGAGACAAATCTCCATCAGAGACCAAATGACGTAGAAGTAAGCAACTATAGGTCATCGTACGGTATTCAATAATGAGCAAATTCCATACCAGACAGCAAGCTTTAAAAGGCCACGAAATGACAAATGTAAAACAATTCAAACGAGAAAACTGACGGCCTGAAATATGTTTAAAACAATAAACGAAAAAACAAATATGAATTACAGCTCCTGACTTGGGACAGGCACATACAGAATGTTGCGGGGTAAACATGTTTGCGGTCGCCCAACCCGCCCATAACATGGAACAGTGGTGTTACTATACAACATAAGAACAAACTATAAACATCAGTTGAAAAGAACTCAACTCATCAGATTGATACATTTTAAAAGTCAAACATTTTTATTTCCCATACTATTAGAACATTTTAATACGTCAAATAACCCCATCATCCACCGGATGCCATTTACGCCATAGTGCTTAACCTGTTTATAGAAAAGAACATGGTGTTTAACGATCCAAAACTCCCATTAATTGCACTTAAAGAGAGTAGTCTTTTAATACTGTAGTTTGTTTAATAATTTCTGTATAACATAGATCTGATTTTAATATCGTTTAATTCATAAAGTATTAGTACTCAGTGATAGCCTATGGGATAGTTTTAAATACGCTTTGAACTCAAACTAGAGCGTGAATTACAATATTATTGCTAATTTGAAAGTTTTATTCAGCGTCGTTATTGCTAAGTCAAGCGTTCTGGGGGTTTGTCATTGCCTGAATTATTCAGTGATAATGAAAGGCTCTAATGGTCAAATTGCAAGACCGATTTATTAATAATGGTATTCTTATGTCTTGGGATTACTCTATTGTAAACTTCAATCAGATCTTGCTAGAATGAAACAAATATTGAACACTTAAAATCGATTTAATATCCAGATTACTATCACATTTTTATCATTAAATAACTAAAATCTCATAACGGATAAAAATATAAATATCAGAGGTATAGATATTAATAGCAAAACATTGACAAATGAAGCACATGGTATATGATTGCTTAATTGTGAAATAGACAACCTTACAACACAATAAAACAAAACAGCTTCATTATTTGAAAAGGAAAAATCAAGATTTAAAATATTCTAAATTTGTTGTTGTAGCAACGTTAATATTCACGAATAGATATATTTTTTTACGATCATCCGAGATTCGGCACAGGGGTTATGACATTAATTTGCTGCTGAATAAGTGGAAAGCTAGAGCACGGCGTCGGTCCCCCTTGAACGATCACGTAATTCTTATACGAGTATATACGAAAAAAAAGTCATCGAAGATACCAGGCTTATAATCTTGTACGCCTATTAAAGACTCATCAGTGACGCTCGAAACAAAAAGGTAAAGAGGCAAAATAGAATACGATATCGAAGAGTATTGAGGACCAAACATTCCGAAAATAAGACAAATTAACAAAATTACAAATACGTCTGCTTTGGTACTAATTCTGATAAACTGACTTTAAATATTTTCGTTGATTACTATGTATTTTTATATTTCAGTTATGTAACATCTAAACGGCAAAATGATTCATCAAACAGAGGTCTTTCATTTGACGAAGAAGGACGCCGAACAAATTACTCTTATGTAGTACGAAATAAAGAAGTTAAAAACAACATTACAAACTGGAAGGATGTTGGTCATGTGGGAAGTGATATATTTACCCTTAATACAATTTACTGGCCCGGTCATACCATTTTTGGGCCTGTAAAAAATATCAGTCCTAAACACAGGGTAGTTACTAGACCTGCAGAACCATTTGTATTTATACACGGTCCAGTTGATGGAGTTGGTAGTTGTTTTACAGCAAAACCATGTTGCTTAGTTACACAGACCGAGCCGATTGCCAAAGGTGCCTTTATTGATAATTGTTTTACAAATTCTTCAGAATCTATATATTGTTGTAGTGGAATTGCTATTGAACTTTTAGATGTTCTATCGAAAGATCTCAAATTTGATTATGCAATTTATTTTGAAAATGACACAAATTATGGTAATCTTATCAATGGTACTATGACCGGAATGGTAGATGACATTCTAACCGGGGTTGCAGATATGATAGTTGGAGCCTTCAGCATAACCTCAACTAGATCAAAGTTAATAGCATTTACAGAACCATTTTACTTCTCAGGTTATTCATTAGTAATGAAAAAAGAAATAACTAATCCATCAATTGACGCATTTTTGAAACCCTTTGACGACAATGTGTGGTTACTCGTGATTCTTAGTGCTATTGGTACTGGTATAGCTACATCATTACTGGAATGGAATAGCCCTTTTGGCTTAAACCCATGGGCCAGAAAACGTGCCAAAAATTATACTTTGGGTTCCGGACTAACAATGGTATTTTCTTTGTGGTTTGGTCATACGGTTTCTACAAAGCCGCCAAAAGGTTGGCCTAGTAAAGTTTTACAGAATGTATGGGCTGCGATGGCAATATTTATAGTTGCCAGTTATACAGCCAACCTTGCTGCTTATCTTGCAGGAATTGTGAATGAAACTCAAGAAATAACTGGTATCCAAGATAAACAAGTAAGTGTTAACAGTCAGTTCTCTATTTTGTAAGAGTTAACTGTCAGTTCTCTCAGTTGAAAGTGTAAACAGCAAGTTCTCTCTGTTGTAAGTATTAACAGCCAGTTCTCGCTTTAATAAGTGTTAACAGTCAGTTTTCTCAACTGTAAGTGTGAACAGCCAGTTTTCTCTGTTGTAAATGCTAACAGCAAGTTCTCTCTATTGTATTCGAAGTCGCACAGGCAAGAAAAAATTTAAATAAAAACAATACGAATACTGCTTAAAAAAATAAATATTTTTTGAAAAATTTTACATTATAGACCACCGTAAGTTCTACATTAAAAAAAACCAAGGAATTGTTCATTAATTGTAAATACATTGTATCATCTATTATCTTACCTCCTATACATTCCTAGGAATATGATTGGTTAAAAGCAACCGCGTGGAGACCGTGTATATTCCATATTGGGTTAGTATGGTTCCATATTGGGTTAGTATGGTTCCATATTGGGTTATTAGGCGGGACTTATTTAAATACACGGTTAGTAGTGGTTTTACGTCCCTTTATAAAAACAACACGGTGTTGAGGAAAAATCTTAAAGGTTTCAACAGACGAAGAAATTGATGATGAACGATTGAAATAAATTCATAAAACACATTTAAAGCTGACAAGTTGTTATTGTTGGCATTTGTTTTTGTATATATCAATGGAAGAAGGTTCTAAATACAATAACAACTTGTCATTGTTGGCATTTGTTTTTGTATATATCAATGGAAGAAGGTTCTAAATAATAACGGTATTGAAGACTTGATCACTTTGATAGGCCACCAGTCTAAATACCACATGTTAAGATAGTCGGTAAGATAAATTCGTTACATAGTGTGCTAGTGACCTAATACGATATATATGGGGTCAGTAAATTCCATATGGGGATTCGAACTTCGCTCTCACCCCATATGGAATTTACTGACCCCATATACATCGCATTAGGTCACTAGCACACTATGTAACTAATAATATTACTTCATACAAAAGAGAGACGGAAGATACCAATGGGACATTCAAACTCATAAGTCGAAAATAAACTGACAACGTCATAGCGAAAAAAGAAAAGAACCAAAAGACAAACAATATTATAGAAAACATAATATAGAAAACCAAAGACTGAGCAACACGAACCCCATCAACAACCGGGGGCAATCACAGGTGCTCTGAAAAGGTAAGCAGATCCTGCTCCAACTTCGCAGTGACTCTTGTTGCTAATGATTTAATTTCAGTTTTAAAAAACCAAAGATAACCGAAATAAATTAAACTGTACCGAAAAACCAAATCCCATTATCTTTTTTATTATTATTATAAGAATTGATAACAAGGACAACGTTACCAACTGAAATCTTCTCGATGGTTTAGATGAGATCTTAGAAATACTATGCTTCTAATAAAGATCATCTTTTGGTTGGACTTACTGTAGCAGGCTTATTTCTTACACATTGAAACCTTCTGAACTATGTTTTGGCAAAAGTCAAATAAGAAAAGTTTCATCTATTTTAACATAACGTAATTGGGAAAGTTTGAGTAGCCGTTTCAGACTGCAAGTGTACATATAAAAAAGAAGATGTGGTATGATTGCCAATGAGACAACTCTCCAAAAGAGACCAAATGACACAGAAATTAACAACTATAGGTCACCGTACGGCCTTCAACAATGAGCAAATCCCATACCGCACAGTCAGCTATAAAAGGCCCCGAAATGACAATGTAAAACAATTCAAACGAGAAAACTAACATGTATGGCAGTCACAAAAGAAACACTTGTTTTAATGGAGAAAAAATTGTTTAAAATATTTTTTTTATGATACACAACACAATTTTGCATTTTATTCCAGGAGAAATATCTGATAAGAGATCAATATCAATGTTCATCTTGTACTTTCCGATTGCCGAGAGATTGACCCCAAAGCAAAAGTATCCAACCCCTCCAAAAAAAAAGCAAACAAACAAAAAAACCTGATCCTGAAGACAATATTAACTGAATATCTGTAAGAAATGTTAATCCTTTTGCATAGATTGGACTTTTTTATTATGATTTTATTGTTGTTTTTATTTGTTTTTTTTCTAAAATTTTGGTCTGCAGCATACCTGATGCAGGTAATGCCAGAAACACGTGTTAAACAAAAGTCAATCGGTATCATATTTTATATACATATATATATTGTAAATCGTGTTAGCTTGCAAGCACAGAATAAGTAAACGAATTAATTAATTAATTAATTAATCAAATTAACATATACTTAGAAGCTGAATTATGAAAATAATACCATTGTTGAGGCTGTATTAGTATGTTGACACACGCAATACAGACTATATGAGATGTATTTTGTGCGTGGTAATCTGTCTTATACAAACGAAACTGAAGACACTGTGTCTATTCGCCAATTATATTGAGTGCAGACAGTAGTTAGCAGAAGGTATTGAAATAACAGGAATATATAAAAATAATATATCAGAAAATGAAAAAGAAGTTATAATTACTTGAAAACATTTTACCAAATTTACACATGTACATTTTATATAATATATCTTTTGGAGAGTATCTACCTATAATTTCCATACTTAAATTCTGAGGACAATAATGCTTAATTCTGGAGGGAGTTATTGCGATAACATACTGACACCTGCAGTGTCATCCTTTCCAAGGTCATGCAGATGAGGGCTAAGCTTTCTAAAATAAAACCTCACTAATTTATCAAATGAACAGATTAAAGGAAATACATGTGCATTATGTGAGATGTAACTTCAATTATTCTTACAGCTTGAGTCAAAGAAAATAGCAATGATCGAAACAAGTGCTGCTGCTGATTTTTTAGACAAAATAGATTCTAAACTAACAAAGCCCGTTTTTGTGAATGGACTAGAAGACGGTTTGCAAGGACTGAGGTAAAGTTTGCAATCAAACATTGCAAAGAAGGACACATGTAATTAAATTTTTCTGATGTAAAACCGCTTATTTTTATGTAAAGTTGATATTAGTTATTTGATAGCACTAAAACTATGTATGATACTGATATTGGCAGTGGTAATGGAACCAACACACTAATATGATTACTTCTTCTAAAAAGGAGATACAATGAATAACAGAGACTCGTAAAAAAGATACCAAGAGCCCGGAAAGCGACTGATGTCTTTTTTTTTTCGAACTGTCGCCTATCAATTGTGTCCCTTTTTTAATCTATGGTGATGTCTTTTCATAAAAACATCTCTTTTCATAATTAGACCCTGTTATCGGTGAACTTAAATTTGCACTAACAAAAACCCTCGATTTATACACATAGTCAATTTAAATCGTTGCAAAATGTTTAAATAAAACCGTTCTACAGTTACTTAAATTTCTTTGAATGATAATGACTGTAGAAATTTTCCGTAATTTACAAAATTAGACATATTCGAAAATTTGTTTAACTGCATTTCACTGAAGGAACGTGATTTAAGAAACACCTCTGTTCGCACTCATATTAATTAACATTGAATATCATTTGTTAAGGCATTTTTTAAACTGATGAAATTACCATTAGATAATCGACAGTGTAATAATTTCCTTTGAAATACCTATAAAAGATAAAAGTAAACAAAAACAAAAAACAAATAAAAAGTTCTGTTCCCTTTGCAAAACACATAAAAGTAGAAAAACGAAAACAGGGAAAGGGAGAAACAGAGAATAGAACAAAATTTTACTCTCAACGTTAACTCATAAAATTTGACGTAAATAAAGGCAACAGTAGTATACCGCTGTTCGAAACTCATAAATCGATAGAGATAAAAACAAAACCTCGCAGCTACAAACTTTCCCAATTGCAAAAAACCAAACATTACACACAAACTAAGAAAACTGGGAAAAGGAAAATGAGAAAAGGGAAAACAGAGAATCGAACTTGTTGCTACACATTTTACTCCAAACAAGTATTGCCGCTAATGATATCTACTTTGGAGTAAGATCAATATACATTGACCTGTATTTAAAGAATTGAGGAAAATAGCAAAGAACTTCGGTGATATTATTGAAATAAAATACTCTCCACGAATATTTCATAATAAGGGTTCTGATGAAAAACTTTAAAGCGGAATCTTTTTCAAACGATACATGCTATCTTGATAATAACATTGAAACATTTATTACTTTTTAGAAAAGGTAAACATGATGTTTATGTTGATGACAACCCTATCCTTGCATATAAATTGGCGGTGATTGATTCCAAATGTACCATCAAGTTTTCTGGAAGCGAGTTCGGAGAAAATTTTTATGCTTTTGGGTTGCCATCCAAATCCATATGGCTTGAGGTGGGTATTAATCATGTATATTTTTTTTTTATAACAAATATAATTATGTTGAAGTCACGGACCTGAAACTTTCAATATTTGGAAGAACACAAGCATTTTCTCTCGTAAAATAAAAAAATGTCTTTATAGGAAAAGTCGTACAACAATTCATTGAACATTCAAATGGATTTACAGAAACTTCTTAAATTTCGATTTGAATTCTTTTATAATATGCATGAATATTTGCATCTGGACGTTAAGCAAACAACAACAACTCCATACCGTTTTTTGGATATGTAAACATATTTTAGGCCATTTAGACATTTTTTATTTAAAAAAAATATTTCAGCCTGTTTTGAAAATAACATGTTATCGATATACATATAAAAGAGATGTGGTATAATTGCTATCCACCAAAGTTCAAATGAAGTGGATATTAGCAATAATAGGCAACCGTATGGTATGTATGTCCAAATGCATCAAGCATTTTATCATTTCTTTACTAATATCAAATGTATGATTGTTTGTTTTTGTTAGGTAATTAAAAACAGATAGTAAGATTTGACATGTATACAAAATATTTTCCGGATTAAAATGTATGCAATAAAGAACAATGGCGAACTTCTACGAAACATTTGTTTTTGATTTTTTTTTAAATTGTTACAGGAAAAGCTATCGTCACTGATTTTGGATTATGTAGAAAACGGATATTTGGTGACAATTACAAAGAAGTTCGTGTCGGTTAGAGACTGCAAAGAACAAATGTCAACAGAAAGCGTTAATCAATATGATCTTCAGCAGACTGGAGGTCTGTTTATTATGCTAGTGTGTGGGTTAGCTCTTTCTGTTATGTTGTTAGTCCTGGAACATGCTGCTTTTAAATATTTGGTGCCATACCTAAGAAAACAAGCGGTGGACAGTAGGTGGAAATCTAGACGAACGCTAGAATTTTTCAATCAGGTATATATTCTTTGTAAAAATTGTGGTACATTATTTTGGCAAACATGCCTCACTTGGAAATCTTCGGTAAAAGTGAAGCACGCACGTTCTGTAGAAAATGCAGTTAAACCAGTACGATTATTTCTTAAAGTTTATTATTGATTGTTAGATGTTTAAAAAAGTTACTTTGGTCATTTACATAATGTCCAATGTACATTTTATATAGATACATATGTAGGAAAGCCTGAAATGAACTTTCGAGATTCGATATCTGAAGTTTACAATTCAAGATTCGAAATTCAAAAATCAATATCTTAATTTTGATTGGTATATTCGAACCAATGCTCTGTGTATCGGCATTGAGAGGATATTAATATCGTACACGAAATTGAACCAATTATAACAACACTAGACAACATAGAGTATCTTGATTATTGTGCGTGTACTATATTTTTGTCCTATCAATCAACAAACCTGCCGTAGCTAAAACAGAACATAATGGTAAAAGGCAAGTTGTTGTTAAAAACGTCGGAAACCATTAAAGTACAAAACATCTGACGGAACTAAAAATGTTCAGTATGTCAAGATCTATTGAATGACTATTTTTGACAATTTATAGCATTTCTCGGAATCTTTTGTAATTATTTTTTACCTGATTTTTACATAAATTTCGATAAGCCATCTCTTTGCAAAATGAATGATTTATGCTCCTTGGAACCTTAGTTCAGTAAAAATACCGTACTGTTAGGATTGAAATATGAATATTTTTACTTTATTGTTTTATTTTATCAGCGCCAATATCGTACTGAAATGAGTACAACCTTAAAAGAGAGGCGAAAGATGCCAAAGGGACATTCAAACTCATAAGTCAAAAATAAACTGACAACGCCATGGCTAAAAAAACACAAACAACAGTACAACATAGCAAACTAAAGACTTTTGTCTATAGCCATATCGTATTTTTCATCGCTATTATCGTACTGCTATGAGTACATTGTAAAATTTTGTCTATTGCTATATCGTATCTTTTCAGCGGTTATATCGTACTGTAATGAGTGAAACATTAGTGTCACCCCAACAAACAGCCCGTGAAATGATGATGATAATGAAAGATCGACAGTTTACTAGAATGTTCCAGAAAAATGAATTGCAGGTAATTAACCTTTTTAATGTTTGATAAGTGTGGGTGGGCATGTAATAGGTGTTATTGAAAATATGCCACGGTCTTCGAGCTCTAAATGGATTGTTTCCAATTAGAGGTAGATTTCATTGACGTATAATGTCTGATGAGTGGTAAATTTCATCAAGCAAAATAAATAACACTATAAGCAGCGTTTTTCATATAAGTTACATATAAAATATATTAGAAACAGTAATGCAGCCAAACAGTTTAATTAGTGTTGATAAAGGGGAAATCTATAGATGTTTATTAATACCAGTTCAAGGCATATTAAGGTTTCGTTGGTCTTGTTTGAGATGTTCTTAGACAGATTCGAAAATTATAGAGCTAACCGGCTTTTTGCAAAATCTTGTTTTATAATCGAAAGTTTGATCTTAATAAAAGTGATCGGGTATTAATTTGTTTAGGATTTTAATGATAAAGACTGTAAAGTCTGCTGACAATCTATGTCAAATGATGGAGAACCAAAGTATTGTCCAATTGTTTTAGTCTATTAATTGCGGCTATAACCTTAATCTTTGAACAAGTGACTTCAAAACCATAAAAAACGGTTGTAAATTAAAAATGCTGAAATTGCAAAACTCTTTACTTATTGACTTGCAACTGCTCAGAAATTAAATATAGAACACAACCCTCTCTCTAAAAAAAGATATTCACATAGGAAGACTGTATTATATTTATCTATTCACTAGCAAAAAAGAATTTTGGGCTCCATGTTGAATTAGGCTAACAGTTCCTGAAATAAGCCTTTTTGCAAAATATCTCAGAATTGTCCCTAATGATGTTAATTTAATGGCTTCACAGTCAGGTGTTTCATCAAAGCTAGCTTGGTAACATTTATATTATCTGAAAGCCTAAAGCTTAAAAAATGTGGTAAGTAAAGGTATTGTGCAATTATTAACTTGTGATGAAAGAATCTTCTCCTTTGTTGATTTTTTAAATAGAAGTTCACAAATCATACTTTTTGCAAAAGATAATTATGCTGATGATTCTTACTTTCTTAATACAACTTTGTTGCCATGGCAAGATAATAAATGGAAATTAATTTCAAACGAGATGGAATCTTGTAATTGTTAATGCTTGGGCCTATCAATGTTTCATTTAGGTGTTGATAGTTGATTAAAATTTACAAAATCGGCTTTCACTATTATATAAAATACATCTTACATTATATTTTTTTTTTAGCAAAAAGCAGTTCAAAGAGCACCCCGGAAAGGTTTGAAATTTATGAACCTTACTGATATTTTGTTGAGGTAGGTTACTGATATTTTATTGTATTTGTTGAATCATTGCAAACGCATTTAACAGAGGAAAAGAATTCAATGAAAAAACATCTTAGGGACGGAAGAACGTCTATATATTTTCGTGCCTACAAACCCATTGTAGCTGAGAATCAACCATTTAAGTGTCGAGTCGGATAAAATTAATAATGGATAAAAGTGACAGTTCACAACAAAAAAACTACTTTCAAGTTTGAACCGAATGAATTAAGATTCTTTTTTAAATAAAAAAAATCCAGGTTAATTGCAAGTTTTAAAATATTAAAAAAGTTTGATTCGAATGCTACAACTGAGTCTTATGCTCACGCAACGCCCTTCTGGTGTACTAAGTTAAGCCTGGAATTTTTAATGAAGTTTTGCATGAGGTGGTTGATGAACATGTAAAAAAAGAGATTTGGGTTATATGTCAAACAAAAATACCAAACTCCAAGGAAAATTAAAAAGGGAAGCCCATGAAACTCATGAGACAATAATACGAATGACGCTTTAAACACATAGAGATCTGGAGATCAGACATATACCAGCCCAGTAGTTAGCATTTCTGTGTTGACATGAATTATCCTTGGCATGGTCATACCTATAAATTAACTGTTTGCTTAACTTTAAATTTTTCCAAATACTGAGGATTTTGCATCCCAGAAATAGATTACCTTAGCTGTATTAGGCTAAACCTTTCGAAATTTTGAGTCCTCAATGCTCTTCAGCTTAGTACTTTATTCGGCCTTTGAACTCTTTTGATTATGAGCGTCACTGATTCGTTTTTTGTAGACGAAACGCGCGTCTGGCGTAGAAAATATCAAGCCAGTCATCTATGATGAGTTTATTCATTGACATCTAGAGATCAAAATATCTGTCAATATACTGTTCACTGTGCAGCAATCACTTGTTTTCATAAAATGCTTAGCTACATGTATGATAATATATTCAACTTTATACAGTTTTCCTTTCTGACATACATATATCATCTGCGGGTGGTGTTTTATATCACAATTGGATCGCTTCTTTAGGATATACTTTTGCAATGATAACATCTTATGATGAAACTCAATCTAAAGTAATATCATTACTCTAATAACTGTTTTTCAACCATCATCACGAATTCGTATGATATATTTCATAAAGAACGTATCCATATTTCCCTTGTGTGTCACGTCTTGACACACTTATAATTATCAGTGGTTATCAGAAAAGTATCGTATGCACCAAAATTGTAATGATCAGTGGTAATTCCATCAGTTTCGGATGCGACACTATTGTAATGACCATTTATAATCACAGCAGAGTCGAGTGCAACTAAATTGTAATGGACATTGATAATCATAGCAGTGTCGAGTGCGACTAAATTGTAATGATCTGTGGTAATTCCAGTAGTTTCGAGTGCGAATAAATTGTAATAACCATTGATAATCACAACAGTGTCGAGTGCTACTAAATTATAATGACCATTGATAATCACAGCAGTGTCGAGTGCGACTAAATTGTAATGACTAGTGTTGAACACAACAATGTCGAAAGCAGAGGACATTTTTAACTCTTCAAGAGCAACTGATGGCTCTCCCATTTTCGATGGAACTTTGTATTGCAACATGCTTTAGTTTTATGCGTTCGCCGTTCATAAACCGGCATCCTCTTCTGTTTATACGAGCATCTGTATCAGTGTTTTTGATATGATTAGTTCATATTATAATCTGTAGATTGGATTTATGATCCTATCACAGTAAGTTTCGAATATTCTATTACTACATCATTAACTAGCGGTATAGGGGGAGGGTTGAGATCTCACAAAACATGTTTAACCCCGCCGCATTTTTGCGCCTGTCCCAAGTCAGGAGCCCCTGACCTTTGTTAGCCTTAAATGTTTTTTAATTTTAGTTCATTTATATGTTTTGGAGTTTAGTGTGACGTCCATTTTCACTGAACTAGCACACAATTTTATTTAGGGGCCAGCTGAGGACCACCTCCGGGTTGGTGGCCTTCGGCTGTTGTCTGCTCTTTAGTCGGGTTGTTGTCTCTTTGACATATTCCCCATTTCCATTCTAAATTTTATACTATTCATTATTTGATACTCTACTGGAGGAGATAACTGTACATAGTCGATTTATGAATATCTCTAGTTAAATTAATTTAAATATTACTTTTACGAAGTGATCTCGTATACTTCTAATTGATTGTTTACCCATTTTGAATTATATTAAAAGACGGATGTGATTTATTGTCTTACTTATTTTAGGTCTGCCAGTGAAGATCGCTCATTATGTAATGGTGATAGTGCTATCTTCTCAACATCCTCTTCCGGTAAACTCTATAATATTTCAGAAGAGGAGGAAATCAATAATGGCAAAATGAAGTTTCCAATAGAATCTCAGGAGTTTGATGATGTATTTTACAATGATTCAACGGAAGGAAGCTCATCTGAGGATATTCAGGAGAAGAATAACGTTTTCACAATCCATCATAACAATTCGGACACAAACCTAGATAAACACGTACAGGTTAATCATTTATGGGATCAGAAAATTCATTCAATACCCAGCGAATATATCAGTGCAACTGCTGAATTAGACGTGATGAAGAAAAAACGACTTCAGCTATCTCATTCCGATTCTTCGCATCTCGCGAGACGTAATCACAAAAGCGATAAACAGCGCGACAGAAAATATAGTACTTTCAGGAAGTCAGGAAGAGTTACTATAGGACCAGACAATACACCATCTACTTTACCAGTGGCAGCATCTCAACCAACCAAACCTACTTCATCTTCCAAATCAAAATGTTACTATAGTTCATCAGTTAAGTTAAAAGATAATCGTGTTAAATCCACAATACGTAGACATGCTCTAGCTCAATTTAAACGCCATTCAACAACAGTATTTGATGAATGCGCAGTGGAAGCTTTATCAAAGGAAGATTTGTTGGTTCTATGGAAACGTTCAGAAATAGAGCTCCAAACTAAGCTAAATAAACTTCAATCACAAAACAATCATTTGAAATGTCTGTTGGCTATAGTTGAATCAGACGATTCAGAGGAGCCGACAAGAACTCTCTCTAAAAAGAAAAAGTTATTATGCACGAAACTGTGATAGAGTCAACGTGATTTTTTTTTCATTTCTACATTGTTATTTGTTATTTTATTAAAATAGTGTATTGGTTTGTTTAAGAATCATGAAACAAATCATGTTTTACATCATTTATAATCATTTTGGAGAAATCTTACTTCATATTGTTACGAAAATATGGAATGTTATGCCGTCATTATTTGCAATGACAGAAAGTGCTACCATAGTATGAGACATAATTCTGAGAAATTTTCCTAGCATTTTACATATACAGTACAGTCTCCCAGTGTGGTTAAGTTATATATAATGGTTCTGCCCACGCGAAGATTAAGACTTATTTATTGTGAAGACCATTTGTTTATATCAAGACCTTTATATGCCTTTCGTTTTTAAATCGTTTGCTTGCTTTTTAAATGATGAAAACACCATTTTAATGATACTATATTGCTATCTTAAAACTGAATCATTTTTCCACCACATTTTGTGCCCTTGTTTTACATGTAACATTGTTTCGATTATGATTTTTACTATGTTAGAACCTGGCGCTTGTAACTATATTGAACAAAAGAATATACATTTGCTGAAAACAACCAATCAAATCTCTCAATGATACAATGAATTAAGGTCTACGGTGTAGAAGAATGGATAGACATTCACATGGTGTAAACTAGTTCGACAAATGACAATAAAACCTTAACTAGCGCAGTGACTAGTAAATGGTGCTTGCAATTTAAAATGTTATCAAATTATAATTAATACACCCGATAATCCTGTGCGAACAACACGTGTTTTCTGGAATATTTAAACCAGACATCTCAAAAACAATCAAACGCGCCATTTATTCATGTGTCTGTAAGGAGTCTCATCGGTAATTTGTTTATGCTTTATTACAACTTTTTCAAAATTTTAAATTTCTATGTTACCGTGAAACTACATACTTTAGCGCCAGTATGAGTCAGATGTTGATACATACTTCACTTAAAGACAAAAGAAGCGATTTCAATTCCCCCATTTCTTTTACCAAACATTCCAGCACCGCCTGCATATGGAGAGTATATCTTCTAATTAAAAGGATATTCCAGGACGTGCGTTTCTAATCATGATTTACTGGATAGAGGGTTGTTGCTTATAAGGAAGATATTGAACCAAGGGTACTTTAAGTTGATGTCATCCCTTCGACAGTTTTAAGGAAGCAATCTTGATTTGATTTACCGATTTGAATATCTGTATCACAGATAACCACGGATATGCATCACAATTCCGTCCTCCTTTTCAAGATTGTCAAATCACATAAAGCGACTTATAATTGAATTTTTTCCTTACTAAGGAGAATATAATAGGTTCAATTCCTTGTATTTTCTATCATAATTTCATTGATAGAGTGTTGTTGCTCACACATAAGCTATTAAACCAAGTGGTGAAGTTGAAATTATCCCTTCAAAAATTTTAAGGACGCCATCACGAGTTGGTTTACCGTTATGGTAAATCTGTATCACAGATGACGACAGATATGTTCCAATTGTCGTAACCACAATCCTGTCCTCATTCCTCGAATCACCGGGTTAGTACTGACATGAGCAACACGAAGAATGCCACATATGGAGTTTATCCGCTTACCCTTCCGGAGCACCTGATATTACCCCCGCTGGGGTTCGTATTGCTTAATCGATAGAAATTTATGTTGTGTTTTGCATATTTTTGTTTGTTTGTTTTGTTGTTTTTTTTCGTTTTTTTTGCCATGGCGTTGTCAGTCTATTTTCGACTTATGAGTTTGGATGTCCCTCTTTTTGAAATCGTGCCTACACATCTGGAGCACCTGGTTTCATCTCAAGGTTTTGGTTGGGTTCGTGTTGTTCAATGTTTGGTTTCCATGTATCTATATATATATATATATATATATATATGTATTGTCTTTTTGACATTTTATTTTGACCATGGTGTTTTTCTTCAACTTATAGCTTTTGTTTACCCCATTGTATCGTATAGCTTCTTTTTCGTTAAACTGTTAATATCTTTACAGTCAACTTCCATTGTCTTATGAATCTGAAAATAAATAGGTCAACAAATGGTAAAACTTCGTTTTATTTTGTAAGTCGATTTGCAAACATTTTTCTCGACATTTGCTGTGCAAGTGTCCTGTGCACCACAGTAGTAGGAGATATCTTGGGCTTTTGGTTTTTATAAAGCAGAGGTGATGTTTTACCTTTGATTGAAGAACATATGTTTGAACTGTAAACAGTGTAATTTGTTCTGCCTGATCGTATATTAATGCCGCAAGAAACTTATCTGCGACAATAATTTTTTCGGACTATTTTGAACGCGACGGATTTTCAGTATTTCTGATAGCAATGGTTTCACCTGCTGAAGACGGACTACCAGAGTCGTCAGTCTGAAAAGTTCTTTCTCATTCACTAGCTGTGTCCCACCAAGGTTATCTCCGATAAAAACAATTTGTTATTTGCAGGAATATCTTATTTATTTACTAGATTTATCTGAATAAACAAATGCTTTTGAAAATGCTAATATCTTGCGATATTTTCTCGTTAATATTACACTGTAACATATTACTGACAAATCAAAACTCCAACTTTCCTCCCTTATGTTGAGACAATTGATGTAGAAATGTTCTTTAAGAGGTTGTTTCGATCTGCATTGTTCACCCTTGTTGGGCCGTGCACATAACTTCGAAAAAAATGGCTCTTCATACACTTATTGCGACGTGATGGTTAGTTTGGATATTCAGCCAAACTAAAATTCGTTTTATCTCACATTGAAGACAATCATCGAGCAGTAAAATTCAAACCGACGTAAATTAGTTAAATGCAAACCTTCATATAACTTTAATTGAATACCACTGAATATTACTTCACCTTTAATTGTACTTCTTAAACCTGTAGATGAAAAATTTATTGTCTACGGAAAAAAATAAAACAATCATGTTTACATCATTATACAGAACGCCTTAACGTGTTTTGCAGTAAGTTACTTAGTGTAGGTTTAAGTGTAAAAACGACTTCATTTTATCTGATTCGTATTATTTGTGTACGCTTCACTTGAGGTCATAAGACAATTGAGAGATAAATGTAAAATCGATATTAGTTAAGTTAAAACTGTTGATGTGACGCAAGTCTATTCATTAACCATGGTTTCTATTTTTCAGACTCAAAACTTATCTGAGGCTGACGCTTGGCATTAATAGCTGAATTACATTAAGTTTGCACTGGTTATTTTTTTTATTACTATCCGTGATGTCCATTGTTTGCTATTGTTAACACCCCTTCAATTGTCTCGAACCCATGTCTTAAATATGAATAAAAGGACATATGGAGTTTACGTTAAAGAGATAACACTCAACAACACACGTTAAGCCAATACAAACAACTAGGTATTATCATATCGTTTTCAACACCGTACCTCAAACTCTAAATCGTAGTCCTCAACTGTAAACATAGACATGTGTCTATACCATGTGGTCCTGCGTCATATCAAGTTGTACATATATTTAGAAGAAACTACATACCATAAATATAAAAACAATTAGAATACTTATAGATCATGAATTAGGGTCCTGACATTCATATACTAGTAACCGTGTAGCGGTCTAATTCTTCTTTTGCTTAATACTCCCCGAGTTTAATCGTGATTTGGAAGGTTAATAGAACGTACAATAGTAAACACTACGAAAGAGTACTCACCTTTATAGTATTAGAATTACAGTCGAGAATAGAACAGCCATATTAACAATACTAGATAATGCTATATCATAGGCTGCTCATTACTGTTGATAATATCATTAACGAATATAATGAAATGTTTCCCAAAAAAATTGAAAAGAACCTTATATACATACTCATCTATATGAAAAAAGCTTGGAGTATCTATTAAATTTTCATTTATTAAAGATTCAAAAAGAGAAAGGAAACATAAAAAATGATAAAGATTATCGAAAAAACACAACTACCACGAAACGTATCTCAGTGTCTACAACATTTTTACCTAGTTATGGAGTGATGTCATTGGTGCCATACTTTTTTCAAAAAGATTTGTCAAAATAGTACGAGACATCAATCATACAATCTGGTAGTTTTTCAATTCAAGTATTGTTTGATAATAATCAAAGAAAGATAATTCTGATTCATATACCGAGCAATATAATCATTTGTATTTCTTTAACCAATATTCTTGCAACGGAGTAATAAACATATTTGGACGGAGTCCTACGTGTAATGGCGTAAAGTTAGAATAGATAATGTGTTGATTTGAATACATCTGGCGCAGTATCAGTACTCTGATTAAAACTGCACAGCAATAAACCTATAATGAAAAGTAAATCTACTAGAAGCGGCCGTTGCCTAAATAAGTTAGTCAAAATAAACAACTATAATAGTTTACACTGTCTGATTTTATATCCTTCAACGACATTATTCCGGAAAATATTACAGCAATCAATACAATAATTTAATTTTAAAGATTTACATGGATAGTTTGATTACAAGATTGCATACTTCATATATTTAATATTTACAAATAGTGATTAATATTTTCTCAAGTCAACTGGAAAAAAGGAAACAGTTTTCAACGTATAGATAACAACTTCAATCGAAAAGCCGCCTACTTAAAATAAATGATATATTTTGTTCTTGAAGAGGTACATCGTTCAAAGAAATTTATGAAAGACAAAATACAAAAGTCTATCTTCATTCAAACATGATCAATAATATACATTTATCTGAATGTTAACGTCCAAAGGTCGGTTGATCCGTCCTTATTTACGAATGTGACAGTCAAACTATTCACACATATCTTGCCAATTACAATTATTTGAATCTAATGTGTAAAAAATCGTAGTGCATGATAAATTGAGATGAGCTTTTTCATAAGAATAATTCATTCAGGCATTGGGGTATGTAGGTATATACGCATAATAAAGTGTATAATTAAGTTGAGCATTGTATTACAAGACTTAAAAAGGTATATGCATTAATTTGTATTACAAAATATTACCCGTATACTTAAATGCCCAAGAATATTTGATATCGGTGTAACGTATTTTATCTAAATGTTTACTATGTTAGGATATAAATAGTAGGTATTCTTTAATTTGCAAAAAACGTTTGCAAAAAATACAACCTTAACATTCAAAAGAAATGGAATTCACGTATAATTTTGTTTAAATTATAAGATGAAATGAATTCATGCATGCATTATACTGGCGTTGGTTCTTGGGATGTATCTAAGTCAACCAGAAGTCTTTGTAGCCTTGATTTTTCCCTGAGAGCTTTTTGAAGTCTTGCATTCAGTTCCATTTCTGAAGCTTTCCACATTAATAATAGGTCATCTTTAGTTATTTCATCGTATTGTATATCGGAAATATCGATATCGTCTACGCTAGTTTCCTGCCAGGATTTCCGCTGCTTAGTATTTTTATATTGATATCGATTTTTTGAAGGCATTGATGGTGATTTGTGAAAGTTATGATGTCGTAAAAGTGACGTTTCTTCCTCATTTGTATCATCATAAATAGGTCTACAATCTGTTATTGTATAACTGTTAGAAAAATGTAAATTTCCATTCGGAACAGACGATTTCTTTCGATTTTTGGGAAACATTTCATTATACTCGTTTATGATATTATCACTATTGACATGAATTTCCGGAACATCTTGACAGACGCTACTAGTTCTCTTACTTTTTATACTTGATGTGACACTTGTTCTTTTTGCACTTGATGCGTCACTAAGTCTTTTATTGCTGGCCAATGAAGACCTATTCGACCTTGTTGGTTCGGGTAAAAAGAAAGAACAGTTTTTATCACTTGAAGATTCAGTATCGTCTTCATCACTGTCCTCTTTTTCGTTTTCCTCTGGGATTTCGTAATCGTCCAAAGCTTGACTTTTTAGCGCGTCAAAATCTATTTGTGAACACAAATCTTTGAGAGAAATTTCTGTGATACAAGGTGTGGCTGAAATGGGAGAATCATCTCCAAATAAATTATTCACTTTCATTTCTTGCATCCTGTAATTAGAATGAAAACGCAGTTATATTATAGTAAGTTTTGATTGAGCTGACATATATTTAAAAAAGAATTGTCCATCGTAATAGACATAACTCATCGTTACAATGCAGAGTAAATTCGGACACAACCATCTTTCAAAAGAGTAAAATCTGAACTCTATTTACTGTGCGTTTTGCTGTGTGTTTGTTTATTCCACATTAGCTAGAGGTATAGGTGGAGGGTTTAGATCTCACAAAATATGATTAATATCGCCTCATTTTTGCGCCTGTTCCATGTCGGGAACCTCTAGCCTTTGTTTGTCTTGTGTGTTTTGAAAATTTTGGTTTAAATGCATGTTTCTGAGTTTATTGTAGCGTTCATTTCGCTGAACTAGTATACATTATTGTTTTGGGGCCAGCTGAAGCCCGCCTTCGAGTGCTGGATTATCTTGCTGCGTTGAAGATTCTTTGATCAGATTCACCGTTTCCATTCATTATTCTATATCTGAATTGATATTGTCTGCAACATTAGCTTCTTGACCAATATGAAATTTCGAATTTGAAGCAACCAAATGCATATTTTATTGTCGCAGTAAGTAATTCTATTTCAACTTTTCCAAAAGTAATATTTACTTCCGAATGTGAATATCTCCCTTTGGTGTGTTCCGCTTATAAACATAAAAATGTCGTTAACTTTATACACCTTTCTATCACCTTTTAACTTGGAATAACGGACGAGTTCAGTATTTGTTTTTATGTATTTGGCTACAAGCAATCATTAATGGTCTGTTTTGGGCATATAGTTCTTGAATGCATTCTTGCCTTTCAAAGTTCTTGTTTTAAGCGTTTCTTGCGAAGGTAAATCTAGAAAAGCGATAAGGACGCACCAATCTTTATTTATAACGGTTTCCAATGGTAAAACATGGATTTTGCCACAGATTACAAAAGGGATAAGCCTCTCTTGATGTCACTCTGCATCTCTTATCTTATCAATTATATGCGAAACACTTTGCAATTTTTTGTGAGATATGGTCATAGTTTTCTTGTTTATTTATTAATTTTACCCAATATCTGATGTAAATGGTCCATGCAATATATGTGTACATATATATATATATAGTTTTCTAAACTAAATCTGTGCATATTTTATGGAAAAGAGTAAGTTAATCAATAATAATATTATTTCAAAAACTCGTGCATTCAGATTATGTATTGCAGTAACATATGCATTACAGTGGAGTGCAAAATACATCGATTCGCAGTGATAATATTACAAATATGTATATATCCTGTAATCATTTTATCAAATCAAAACATTTCATGATATGCAAAAGCTGATATATGCGTTTGTACATGGACACCAATTGCAATTAACAAATTAAATAGTGTTTGTTTTCCAAATGTAATATTTTTTCATGTCTAAATCATGTCGAAAAGATGATGGTGATGATAAATGACTGGTTAACGTCCAGTGGAAAATTAAATGTATCTTCTGGACGATATCAAAAAGATACAAAATCTAATACTTATAATATTCAAATTTTTATAGGTAAACTTGAAAACTTAATGAATGTTATTTGCAATAAGTACACAGAACTATGTAACAATACCTTTGAGCAAATGTTGCAATGCCATTAGATGATTCACTCAAGTAAAAACTATAGATGAAAAAATAAAAAGATTTTAACTTTGAACCTCGTTATTTTAAGTACCAAATAAAATTTTATTACATTTCTAAAATATCTTAATGGAGACGTGTGAAGAGAAACACTTTTGACCTTACTTAAGTAACGGACGTATTAGATGCACGTACATTATTATGGCAAGAGAACATATTTTATATTTGAGTTATCTCCAATTTACCAGATTAAACCCCGAATTATGTTATGTTGGTGAATACGCTTGTCTTTTAACATGTAACTGGTAAAATACATGGCGTGTTCTGAGAGTATTTATTTAATAACTAAAAATTAAATTTCTTTAAAATATGAAGATAATAGAGCATCGTAAGCTGAAACAAGTCAATGTACAGATAGACAAGATTTGAAAAAAAAAGAATCGGAATCTCATGACATAGCGAGTATTTAGATATGATATTAAAGCAACAGTTTCTAAAAGCCAATGCACTTTTCAACATAAAATGTCTTTGATTTTCAACAAGTAGATTTTTGGCATTAATATCTAAAATTCAATAAAGTTAGATTTAAATCGTTAATCATTAGCAGGCATGTTTAATAATATTTAGAATAACGAGATGCAGTGACATACAGATCTGCTACATTCTTAGAATTTCTGTCGTCTATGATTGTGTTCGATCCAATTCATTTTAATTAAGAGTTTTATTCAAAGTTAATACCAGTATTCGCTTCTGAAATTAGTTGTTAGATATTCAAAGTTATCATTTATAATTTCATAATCACTTAATGTTACCAATAACAGAAAATCAATCTTAACATCAAGCAATAAAAGATTAACGATCGGTAGTGTTTAATATATTGTAAGGTACACTATAATTGATATTTATTACCATTTTGCTTTTTCTACTATGTCTAAGAAGTGTCTATTCAGTCGCTTAGTTTTAGCTAACTCTGCTAATCTATTTTTCTGAAAAAAAGAGGATGAAACATGTTCATTAATGTGGATACAGTTAAATATCTGTTAAATAATCTAGTATTTTTTTTGTGGTGAACGCACAATTCATTTCAAATATTAAAAAAAATATATACAAATGAACGACAGCATTATGAAATACAGAGTTTGTACATCTGAACGGCAAATACCAAACGATTATTAAATTCTGATCACCAACAATAGATTGAGCACAAAGATAATCGACTAATATATTGACACTTTTCATATCCACCTTTGCAAAATGTAAACTGTGTTATAAAAATATAACATTAGTATTGTTGAGTTTCGTACAGTTTATATTCTTAAACCAAGGAGGTTTATTCTAGTTATACATCCTTGTCTGAAACAAGGCCAATGTAATGGTGACTATGTAAAAAGGTAGAATCAGCAGTCATTAGATGAATAAACAAGTTATATATATTGCCAATACTTAAGAAATAAAATTTGAAATAATTGTCAATAAGGCAAGGACCAAAGGACGAGTAAGTTTTGATTTTTCTTTAATAATAAAAATGAACCCATGATTGTAGAAATGACATGCTATCATGAGTGCTCCTGAAAATCTGTATTCTCATTTTGTTAATACAATCCTTTGCTAATTGAAATTTATAATTTCAAAGATCAATGTGTTGTTTACATTTTCATCGTTATTTGATGTAATTTCTGCCTTTAAAATAGTAAAAATTATTGTCTGTTTCTGATTAGAGCATACTTTCGGATATTTCACAAAACACTAAAATAATTTTAAATAATTATTTCGTGAAATTGCAGACTAGATTTTTTTCCCATAGATTATATCATAGAATGAATTCTATAATCAGATTAACCGTTAATATTTGTATCGGCACTGTTGATAAAAGAAACTTACTCGTATTGTGCTTTTCATAAAAAGTTTGCTGAAATCCCTGTTTTTCACTATCCCGAGCATTTCTCTTGCTGATTCGTGTGCTGAAACGAGTTCTGCGCTTGTTATTATTCTGTGCAGTCTCTGAAATTAAACAAAAACACAATACATATTTCCTTTACAAGAAAAGCTTATTGACGAAGGCTTACTCATTTAATTATAAAGTATAGATGTATTGTGATATTGAATGAGTTAAATTTCAATCTACTTTAAATATTTTACACATAAATATATAAAGGGGATGTGAAAGGGAAACTTTGAATTTATAGAGCTTTATTTAAGCATTTCATTATCATTGCGAAACTGAATCTTAAATATTTACTGTTCATCTGAGTTGTCTACATCACAAATAGATGATCCAAGGTCAATATAACCTGGGTTGTCTACATCACAAATAGATGATCCAAGGTCAATATAACCTGGGTTGTCTACATCACAAATAGATGATCCAAGGTCAATATAACCTGGGTTGTCTACATCACAAATAGATGATCCAAGGTCAATATAACCTGGCTTCTAAGATTTGAAAAAAACCCAAATCTTTATTTACGACGAAAATCCAAACAGACAAATATGAGTCGATGTACTGGAATGCTTTATATTTTTTGAATGAGCCGATGTACTGGAATGCGTTCCATTTTTAGAATCGTCAACAGAATCTTTTGAAGAAGAAAAGATATCAATTAATGACAGAAATTGTCTGCAGATGGTTAAGGGTTTATTAAATACCAAACTTAGTGAAAGAACTTTGAAATATGTCAGTATTCTCAATCTAAAACACTCATACAATCGGATATTTATTTTTTTTAAATATAAAAATAATCTGATATGAATTAATTGCCAATGAGACAACTAGGAATACACAAGGAATAAGTATCCTTAGCTGCATTTGGAAAACCTTTCGGAAATTTGGGTCATCAATGCTCCTCAACTTCTCACTTTAATTGGCCATATTTAACTTTTTTCATTCGAACGAACTGGTGAATTTTTTGTAGACGGAATGCGCGTCTGGCGTACAAAACCATAAGCCCGGTATGTTTGATGAGTTTTTTTATCTACCATATACCAAATGACAAGGATATAGACGACGCCAGGACAACGTACAACACTTAAGAAAAAAATAAGATGTATGAGGACTTAGACTCATATATTTCGGTGATAACGATAACTCTTTGCTTTTTGGAAAAGTGCCCAATGGAGACAGACTTACTGTCTAATTCCCAAATATAAATATCAATTTTCATACAAATAAAGAGATGAGAGTGGAAGAATGATTCAAACTTAAGGAATTTGATTAAAATGGTATTCACCAGCTTTTAACGATAATATTATTCATAAAACTACAGAATTTTTTTAATTGTCCATTAAATCTGTTTAAAGGGGGTTAAAACGAATTATTGATAAAGTTATATTGATATTTTTTTTGTTCATTTGTTGCATCTGGTATATTATGAGGACGAACTTCAGTTCTCTAATTTTAGTTTGAAGTAGGATTTGAATGTTTCTTTTAGTTTTCTGTCAATGCAATGCGTTAAAACACTTTTTGGGATTGCATAAGATCACGTCGTTATCACGTTGCTGTATGATATTTACTCTGAAGTACAGTCGTTGATACAAGTTGAAGTTTATTTCTTTGAATTTACTTTCTGTAACTGCGAGCATCTACGATACTATAGTATTATTGCCTAAACTTGTGGTTTGTCATCTAATGTACCGTTATTGAACAGACGATTGCGTATCCGTTACTGATTTTTGATGGAAGTTCTTTTATTCGTCTTTGGTTAATCAAATGATCGAGATTAAAAGGATAAGAGTTGCGATACATGAAAAAACGAATATAGCCCAGCGAAAAACATATTCATGTGCCTATCCTTAGTCAGGAACGTCGCCAGTGGTTGTTTTATTCTAATATTCTTATGTTGTTTTGTCATCCATGTTATTTGGCAAAACCTTTCACAATTTTAGACCCAAATGCTCTTCAACTTCGTACTTTATTTGACTTTTTAAATTTTTTGATCGAGCATCAATAATGAGTCTTTTATAGACGAAATACGCGTCTGGCGTTCGGAACCATAAACCTGGTATCTTTGATGAGTTTTTTATTATATATTTCTTGCAAATCTGTGATAGTCTCTGATTAATTTATTCACAATTTATAAGACTCTTGATGATTAGGACTTAACATATTGCACAGAAGCTTGTCTAACTGTTGAAGGTCGTATCCTGACCTTCGGATGTGTCTGTGATGATGGGTTGCCAGCATCATTAACGCATAACCCTCACAGTCTTTTATTCATGCCCATACTTTTAGGAAATAATCTTTTTTTTCACCACAAAATAGCCTTTTTGCACGGATGCAGGGTAAAACAAACTTCAATCAATCAATAAATGAAGTAACTTTAATCTTTGTTGAAATCTGAACATCAGATTTAAAATTAGCATCAATTTCTGTGGAGTGTGTTGGGGTTTAGGATGTGGGGCAGAATACTGAATTGCTATCACTTAAACAGAACAATGAGAAACTGTTTCGGTTCTTATACTTTCTCGGCTTTCAAATATTCGGCTTTGAGCGTTCCTGATGAAGGTAAACCTAGAAAAGCACTTTGGACGCATGAAATCATTCAACGTGTTGTTTTCATGTTTTATTGTAATGTTTCTTATCACTGAATATACTTCATTATATGCAGAACATGTTGCAATATTAATTAGATTCCGACAATTTGATTAGAAAGCTGACCATATAGGGATGTCAATTATTAGTCTGAAGTTGTGAGCAGGTGTAACATGATTTATAAAAGCGTAGGTTGAAACTTAATTTTGATATACTGTCTCTATGTATTTACGATCTGATGTCTGATCTTAACTGGATATTGTACTTTATTTATTTTACATTTCATGTTTTATAGGGTGCTTGCAACATAGCCTTTAACACACATGGATATTATTATACAGCGAATTAATAAAAAGCTTGATATGCATCTGTTTTATCAAAGGAGTTTCAATTAATACTTTTCCATCAGGTCCAGTCATAACATTCTACCTAGGTAAACAAGGATGGTTGAAAACTTACGACAAAAATATCAATCAATCAATCAATCAAAGTTTATATGTATAAAATTAGAGGCTTCAAGAAACCTGTATTGCTCACCTGATACCTATCTATAACATTAAGTTGTGTTCCTGTAAGATGTTAAAAAGAGCATTGTTCATTTCTATCTGAAAGTACCTTTATACATAACAGTATTCTTATTTTGAAACTTCATTAAAATAGTGTAAACACAGATTTCTCATACCCATCCTTGCTTGTTTATGTGTGTCTCTTAATAAAAAAAAATGCTGAAAAGCCCGTCAATACGGTTACATTTTTTTCGATTCCTATGAATAAACTTATTTGGAGAGATTTAAAAAAATACTCAATTAGAAGTAAAGAATTATTGTGGGGCTATGTATACATCTGATCGGAACCATCCGAGAGTTATTTTTTTAAGCTCCATCCATTCATCATTTCTGAAAGCTATATTTGTCAGGTTGTTTAAGAGAAGATGATACAAATGTGATTTTCATTCGGGTATCAAAGGAAACTATGTAACCCACATACCGTTATTTATATGTTTGGCTTTCCAATGAACATTCAATGAGGACTGTTTGTAAAGGGTTTCTCGATCACTAACTTCTAAAGCTTCACACATGCTTTTTAGTTTATGGCCAGACTTTTTAAATTGCCCAATCAGAATCAGAGATTGGCTCTTGTGGCCATATTTTTAATCCAGTATGACGCAAATGGGAGTCATAATTAGAAGACATTTCAATCATTACTATTATGAAGTTTAATTCATTAGGCCAACAATTTTCAAGAATTGCAGAGACCGGGTGCGTCGACAGAGTAACTTATCTTTTTGTGATCGCCAAACAAATATTGGCTAGGTTAAGTATAAACATTTATTACAAGGGATTGTTCCGACAATATACTTTCTCTAAAAGAGCTACTATAGTTGGGTGAGGGAAAAAGATTGTTTTTTGTATTTCTTATTCCTCTCTCGCTTATTGTTTATGATTTTAGATAAAACAATCCTTCACCTTATTGCTTCAAATACATTGTCATTCTAAATGCTTGTTAAACTCAAAACCGTATTTGTTATTCTACTGAAAAAAAAAAGTTCCATAAAGATAATGAAGATTTCGAATGCATCTTTAACAGACTCGTTTACATTTTACGTAATTTCAGATTTATCTTGCTAAAAGATAACACATTTATTCAGGAAATGCATTTGTGCATTAATACAATTGTTTGATAGTACTTTTATCTTCAACTGGTTCCTTTAGCTGTGCCATGCTGAACAGAAGTTAATGTTTTTATCTTTTCCTGTTTGTATTGTCTTTTGCAGGAATGGCATAAATAATCCGGAAACCGTCATACATTTGTCCGTATTGATCGACTTATTCAAAATTAATGTAAACATTGGTCTATGGCAGCTGTTTTGGGTAATAAAGTTACACTGGATGGTGAAAAGTTTGAGGTAATTGTTCATTATTTACGAATTGCATATACAATACATCAAATTTATATACTATCCTGGGAACATATAACAGGAAAATTGTTGTATAAAGGAGCTTTCTAATCACATAAATATGCATTATGATTAACATGGCATTGATTTTTGACGGAATATGTTCTTATGCAACTCCATAAAGGGAATTATTTTATAACATATATCGCATTGTAGAATGCTACTCAAATTTAATCAGTTTTTTTTCAACAATTGTGGAACACATTGAAATGCATATTTTCAATCTTGAACAATTTAAAGACTAACATTTCCATCAATGAAAACGAGGTAAACCTGAAATAATCATCAAAATAATACCAAAATATATATAAACAGCCTTCAACAACTGGAAATCGCGACACTTTAAAAATTGTGTTTTACAACAATCACTTTAGGGTTATGGCGTCAGAGATTTTTTGTTGCGACTTAAAAATCGGGATCGTCTGCGATGCTCAGAACATTATGGACAGATAACGATAATATGTATTACCTTAACTCAAATTTTATTTCACGGATCTCTGCGAAATATTCTTCCAATATTTGTTACATGAACATAATCTATCTTTTAACGATTCAGCTACAAACTGCTTAAAGACCATGAGTGTATTTAATATTTGTCCACACTTACATTTCAATATTGTACAAGATGATATTTGTCTTGTCTTGTTCATTCTGATTTTACGCAAAATGTGTCTACTGAATGCATCCCTGTACACGAACGAAAAATCAACCACCTTAATCAAAAGAAGTTAAATTTGATATTTTTGATGACGCAAGATATTTTTAGTAATTTTTTTTGTCTCTTGTTTTTATTTTTTATTTAATTTGTCATTAGAAGACAACCTTTATACACACATATACTCACCCGTTTTTTTTAACTTTATAAGTGCGAAAACTGGACAGCCAATTTACAAACGTACATGTTTAGTAGTCTTTTAGATTGTTATTCGGTTTGTGATGAGAGGGCATGTAAAGTAACAACTTAGTATCTAATATTCATTTTTACACAATATTGAGCTTTCAAACATGTAAAATTTCTTCACTTCTTGTAAGGAATAACACCACTAATTCATAACCCCCTTGCTTTCTATGTTAAAATCTGCTACCTCATGCATTCATAGCTATTTTGTATTAAGTTTAAATAAAGTGATAGTCATTTCATGTCAAAACTATACCTTATCCTGACTTGTGCTGAAAAAATCAACATAATTGCATATTAGAGCGTACTGGTTCCCGGAAGTCGGGCTCCGTGTTGAAGACCGTACTGTGACCTATAATGATTTACTTTTATAAATTTTTACTTGGATGGAGAGTTGTCTCATTGGCACTCATACCACATCTTCTTATATCTAGTACAAAAACAGGTACTCCCGATCTGAGCAACAGGGCAATTATGCCCTCCTATCTTAATTTCATATATTTTTTATTATTCAAAAGAAACTTTTAACAAGGTTTCTACAGTGGTCCCAAGTCATTAAGCTTTCATTTGGTACCAACATCACCCACATATTTTACTTATTGACAAAGATACAGCTATGCGTAGAGCTATTTTGTTTAAAATATGTACTACTTTCTTGTATGTTCTTTCCGACCTGGCCGAATTAGTGGTTCTATACCTAAGTGAATCAAAATGATTCAAATACTCTGTGATTAATAGATTCCGAGACCCTAGGTAACCATCACTGAAGTGAAAGTCTTATATCTACAAATGACTAAGGAAAAATGATCTATATTTGGTTCAATTTAGATATGTCAACTAGTAATTTATCAACCTGGTGGGAATCGTAAAATAACAGGACGACGACACAGAACCAGATAAGTTTAATTGATAATGATATTAGAGGGTTCAAAACTCGAGTTGCAGGGAGCAATACACAAACGATACAAATCAACGGCATGTCAGATAAATGCGATTAAATCGTGATAAAGGCTTATTAAAGCGATTAGCTACAAGCATTAATGCTACAAACTTCTGTTTGAAGGTTATACTAGAATTTAATTCCATTGGCTCTCTTACTGACATCTTGGTGGGTATTCTGATTTCGGTATTTCTGATTACTCCTTTTAATGTCCCTGTCTGATTTGTAAGTTGTTTTATTACAGTAGACAAGGATTTGCTACCTAAGCTGTACAATAAAGAAAGCATTGCAACACCTTAGGTAAACACGAACACATAATTACATTTAACCTTATATTTTTAGAGTTTATGAATACTGTAATAACATTTCCCTTTGAAACTTCGTAAAACGTTACAGGGATACAGGAGGAAGACACATTATGAAGTATATCTCACAGAAGAACATGTATCCTAATTTCCATAACAGTTAATAGATACCAGGATTTAATTCACAGGAGCCTTAATAAAAGGGGAAATAAAATGATTGGAGATACCAGGATTAAAATTGTGTACGCACGACGCGCGTTTCATCTACAAAATCAGTAACGCTCGAATCAAAAAAGTTTAAAAAGATCAAACAAAGTACCAGTTGAAGAACATTGAGAACCAAACATTAGAAAATCCTTAGAATTTCAAACAATTCAAAGTTTTGTAAACAGTTAATTCATAATTATGACCATATCAATGATCATCCATGTCAACACAGAAGTGCTGACTACTTGGCTAGTGATACCCTCGGGGAGAAACTTCCACCAGAAGTGGCATCGACCCAGAGGTTGTAAATAAACTCATCATAGATATCAGGATTAGAATTTTGTACGCCAGACGAAACATATCACTTATTACACTAACGTTCCCTTTTCACGAGCCAAATTTATCCTGGTAACTCATCTTTTACTCTAGTTTTCTATTATGTAGACCTTTACTTTTATGATTAATATTGTCGTTAAAATCATGAATGAACTTAAACACAATTGTAATCCCTTTACATGCATATTCATCTTCTAAAACATGTAAATGTAAAAAGTAAATTTTACATTTTAAATGTCCCTTCAGTAATGCCTTTTTGATTGACCTTCATCGTGAACGCTCAAACCCAAAAATTTGAAAGCCAGGAATGTATAAAAACGTAGAAAAGATAGGAGCTTTATGACCAAAAGAAACTTAAAAGCTAAATTTATCTAAATGCATAAATACTGCAAATAATAAGCCTTGATATATTTCATTATTTTGGCAAGTAATCTTGTGAAAGTGATGAAGAATATTGACCCTTTTTTCAACAAATATCGTTACAACTCAGAATGATATTATAAACAAATATTTCATTGCTACGGTAATTATTTTGTATTGAGAAGAATGAATTTATGCAATTTAAACATGTATTCATATGGATATTTAAAGCAATACTTTGGATGTATAATATATTAATTCCCACTCACTAGTAAATAAATTTGACCGCAACAATCAATTTGATGTAAACTGTTTGTAGGAGGCTGAACAATAAATACACATTTCAGGATCTTTACCGCGATCAGAACTAATCAGACAATTCCCTTTCGGTCAAATTAGATTTTCTTAGTCTCCCTTCAGAATAATGTCTCAACAGCGACTGACCAGTACAAGACTGACTACAGGCAAAATGTCTGAACAGTACTGGATTTTCCGCCAAAAAATATCTGAAAAGTCCAATAACTTCAAACAAGACTTTACGGTTTTACGTTAAGACATTTCAGAACACGTTAGGATTATAAGGTCCGTTTCATATTAATATGCATTTATTATTGCCTAAAATAGTTCTTACCGGACTAAAAAATAGCATGTGAGGACTCTTCCAACGACTTGTGTCTGATACGTTTCTGAAGTATGGAACCAACCATCGGAATATTCCGTGTTCACAAACAAGCAATAGTATGCTTAGCACTAAACCACATGACAACATAACAAACAATCCTGCATGATGTGAAGCTTGTAATCTTGAATCTTCTTGTGAAATACTCTGTTTATAACACTGTTTGTCTTTAAAATGAATGTCAATTAGGTCATCTATATATCCATTTTCATGATACTCTTTTATCTTTTTTGACAGAGGAATCTACAAAACAAAACAAAATGTGCAAAAACAATCAAATATACTGAGCTTTTACCTTGCTACACCATATGCGCGTTTTGTGTACACAAGACCCTTTAGTGGCGCTCGAACCAAACAAGTTTGAAGTCTAAATCAAACACAAAATTAAAGAGCAGTGCAAACCAAATATGCCAAAAACGTTGTGCATTATACGTCTATGGCTTGGGTAGAAAAACCTTATTGATTCGAATAATTCAAAATTTTATAAACAGAAAATTACCATATCAATGATATCTTATGTCGACATGACAGTGATATGAGTACTGACTACTGGTCGATTGAAACATCCACCGGTAGTGACATTGATCCAGTGGTTGTAAATTAATTAGAGATACCAGGCTAATAATTTGTTACGCTAGACACACGTTTTTTCTATATAAGAATTACTAGAGGCGCTCGAATCAGCAACGCCCGGATAAAACTGAGTTTATATAGCTTAATTGGTTTGTTATCAACGGAAATGAAGTGCCTCTTTGATTTGACTGAACGTAATTTGGTTCAATTTTTACATAATGTTTTACTAAGTTTCACCCAATATATTTGGCCGATTGAAGTATGCTTCTTTTTGTACGACAAATCTTGCTTATGTTAATGTCTATACATTATAGGCAACAGTATGTTACCGATGTTCTAATCGTGTAAATCCAATCTGAATATGCAAATCAAGTTGAAAAGGAATGAAGCCACTCCAAAAAACAACGAACCTAGTAAGCATCTGTTTTCTTAAGGTAAATTATTTACAAAGTTAAGCGACACTATAGTTGTTAAGTATCTATCTCTTTATTTGTAGAGCAGTTTTAATCATGTGAAACAACAATTGTAAAATCATTCAACTTTTCTGGTAAGCGAGAAGTTATAGACAAGTGAAAACAAAAACAAAAAGGGCCTAACACGACACTTTCCATTGATCTGTCAGGTGGTATTTTTAGGTTGAAAAAGACAGATTTTTGTGGATAATTAGAAAAAGGTGTATGATGAACTTTTTTTTGTAAATGAAGAAAAAAGAACAAAACTTAAAACTATAAGACAGTGGTAATGATAGGTATAAAGGAGTACTCTATAGAAGAAGGGACTTAAGATTTGTCTGAACAGTCTACTGGTAAGATTATAAAACCCTAATTTACTCAACAAGGATATATGGTAAACATGGAAAAGCTAACCTAATAATCCCTCCCAAAATCGAAAATAAAATCAAAAATTAAAAATATAAAGTCCATCTATCATATAGAATCGTAGATATATCCGGATATCAGTATTTAAGAGTTATATTGATGGAATGATAAAGGTAAGGCTTAATATTGTATAGGGGGAAATCAAATAAGGATATATATGATTCAACGTCTAATCGCAAAGAGTTAATGCATAATCAAGACACCAACCATATTAAGTATGAGAACCTGTTATTGTATGATTCTAATTTAAACCTACGGACGACAAGGACAAACTTATTTTAATATGGTAGCTCTGTATGCAACGATCAGGATTAGCCATGCCCCCATATCAGGACTCATTTCAACTAGTTTGACTCTAAGCCAGAAAATTATGCATGTTTAATAAGGGAGTACTTTTTAAGTGACAGGTTTGGCCCGATTTTGGATCATTGTCACCCCAATTTCTTACTCAAGACAACGAAGTATCCGAATAAAACAAAATCATATCTACCAGGGAAAACCAACCATTATATCTACAGCAAAAGGTATTGGTACAGAGAGAAGATGAAAGTATACAATGAATGCAGTTTATTTCAAAATCATTCAGTACATTTTATTATTCGATCGTCATGACAGCATTACATCAGAAATCTGGAAATGCATATAAGAAGCAACATGCTGAAATTTCAAGTAATTAAATATCATTCTCCTGGCAACATCGCAACTTCCTTATTAAATTTTCTACTACAGAAAAATAAGGTTAACCAAACATAACAACTTAATTCAAAATCAGATGATTTATAATCTTATTTACAAGACTCCGACAAAAATGAAAAAGAAACACTGAACTGAGCAGCTACCAATCACTATAAATCCCTATATTTGAATAACAAAATTATATCTCAAGAAAAAAGGTTTGGTTTACACTTGAAAAATAATTCCTAACTGAAAACAGAAAGGTTTGATGTAAAAATAGATCAAAGTACTTTTCTATTGATCCTTTGTTTTTATGATCTAAAATAAAAAAGGCAATTTCCTTATTATTTATTTTCTGATGCTCAGTTTAACTGGTCGCACCACGGTTTGTCTATTGTTTTGCACTGTATTTTTTCAACGACATTTATGGTATTATTTTATCTAAATTCGTCTGTATAAGCTTATGATAACAATGAACGATAAAATCAAGTACACATGCACATAACTCATGTGTACTTCTCAGAAATTCTTTGAAAAACATATTTGACTAATGGGTTAAGAGAGATTGTCACCTGGTATTTATTGACCTAACTTACCCTGTAAATAAAGATATAGTTCATTTATTTTAACTACCGTTTTTTATTATTTTCAGCTGTAGCATGAATCGCATTTAGAAACAAATCTTAATTCAGATGAGGATATATATACCCGCTTTTTGTAGCTGATGACTCTTAACTGGATTTGTCAAGATGTTCATTGAATTTTAAGCAAAATACTCCAACTGAAACTTTGAGAGTTATCACGGTTGCATTATTTATAGAAAATCACAATTATGTGCGTTTTATGGTAGCTGGGGGTGTCTAGATATTCTACGATAGGTTATTCTTCAACTTCTGTAAAATACTTCTGAGTCAACAAACTTTCAAATTTTTATATACAAACTCTGGGTCACAGATATTTTTTTTATCGTTAAAATACATTGAAATTACCGAAATCATAGTTATTTCATATGGGTTATAAAAGGGAAACTTATTTTTTCCTTACTGGGGAAACATTAAAAGTTAGAATTGGTTAACATTCAACGAGAGAAATGTTTTCATAAATAACGGACCTTATTTTCTTGGAAAATATATTTAAAAAAACCCACAAATTGTCGTATTAAATTTAATATAATTATCATTGATTTTAAAAAGATTTTTTCTGGAAGTTTTAAATACATTTAACGAAACTTAATGTTTTGATAGTTTTGATAGTTTATTCTTTAAAGTTTTAGATGTTTCTGTTGTTTATTGAATGATGCTTGGTACAATATTTTTTAAACCAAAAAGTATTTTTTAACATTTTAAAGAACATTTTACTCTTAACAACAACCATAAAAATTCTATTTCTCGTATCAAACATAAACTAAAAGAACTAGCCAAGGAATTTGTTTTTGTCCCGGCTGATAAAGCTGCTAATAATATCATTATAGTTTGACGTAAATTTTACATTGAGGTTCTGCAAAAGGAAATCACGAATTCACCAACATTCCAACTGACTTCATTTTCAGAAAACGATATCTGTAACAAACATAAACTATTAGCTACTTCTTTACAAACAGAACCAAATACAATGAAAGTCCCAACTATGTACTGGCTTCCGAAGCTACACAAATCACCTTACAAATATAGATTTATTTCGTCTTCAAGTCATTGTTCCACTACTAAATTGTCTATTCTACTTACTAGTACACTTGGTACAATCAAAAACCTGATAACAAATTGTTCAAATAAGGCCTTTGAAAATAGTGGAATTAACTACTTTTGGAGTGTCAAAAACTCGTTGGAAGTACTTGATAAATTGCATGCATATATTGGTGATTTTGAATCTGTTCAAAGTTTTGATTTTTCTACCCTATATACCACTTTGCCTCATATTCTTATCAAGAAAAAAATCACACACCTAATTAAATGGGCATTTAAAAAGTCGGAATGCGAATAAATATGTTCAAACTCTTTTAGGTCATTTTTTAGTAGCAACAAACAAAAGAGCTATGTCAATTGGACATGCTTTGATACTATATCTACCCCTGAATTTTTACTTGATAACATTTTTGTTCGTTTTGAAGATTCCGTATATCGTCAAGTTATCGGAATTCCAATGGTGACTAACTGTGCACCACTTATTGCGGACCTGTTTTTGTATTGTTATGAGTTACAATTTATGACTAAAATCAGCAAAGACCCATCGAAACAACATCTGATACAAAAATTTAACAATACTTTAAGATATTTGGATGATATATTGGCTCTCAATAATGACGACTTCAGTATGTATACTAAAGAAATTTATCCTGTTGAACTTACTTTAAATAAAGCTAATACTAACAATGACCACTGTCCTTTCCTCGATCTTGATATCTATATCATTAACGGGAAGCTAAATACAAAAATTTATGATAAAAGAGATGATTTTTCATTTCCTATCGTTAACTATCCATTTTTAGATGGTGACGTTCCCTTGTCACCATCTTATGGTGTTTATATATCTCAACTTGTACGATTCGCTCGTGTATGTAACAACGTAATAGATTTTAGCAAAGAAACTTATGTATTACTGAAAAATTATTACACCAGGGTTTTCGATATCATAAACTAGTCAAAACATTTACTAAATTTTATCATCGGTATAAGGACATCATTCGTAAATATAACTCAACATGCAGACATCTTATACGTTCGGGTATACTACTGTTGCCTTTATTCACATCCAATCTTTTATGGTAATATTCTTTACAAAGCACAAAAATGTCAGTATTTACCTCAAAAGCAAACAAAACCTTTAACCAGACTTATTAAGAAGGAATATAGTTACGATACTGTTGTCAGGTTATTAAAGATTGCATATTTTTGCTTTAATATTGATTCACTTATAGGGTCTTTGCATCGGAATTAAACATATTTATTCTAAAACCAGTTGTTGGCATGACACGGGTTATGTTCTTCTCATATATTTTATGATGGTATAATACTAAACCCCTAACAGGAGGGATTGTGCCTGATATTCATATGATGAAGACATAATCTTTCAATCAGTTTAATTGAGGTCTGGAGCTGACATGTCAGTAACTGTTAGTAGTCTGTTGTTATTTATGTATTATTGTTATTTTGTTTATTTTTTTTTTGTTTCCTATTCTGACATCGGACTCGGACTTCTCTTAAACTGAGTTTTACTGTGTGTACTGTTGTATGCTTGTTTTTTCTACGTTGGCTAGAGGTATAGGGGGATGGTTGAGATTTCAAAAAACATGTTTAACCCCGCCGCATTTTTGCGCCTGTCCCAAGTCAGGAGCCTCTGGCCTTTGTTATTCTTGTATCATTTTTAATTTAATTTCTTGTGTATAATTTTGAGTTTAGTCTGACGTCCATTATCACTGAACTAGTATACATATTTGTTTAGGGGCCAGCTGAAGGACGCCTCCGGGTGCGGGAGTTTCTCGCTGCATTGAAGACCCGTTGGTGGCCTTCGGCTGATGTCTGCTCTATGGTCGGGTTGTTGTCTCTTTGACACATTCCCCATTTCCATTCTCAATTTTATCAGAAGGGATGCACAGAACAGACACCCGATCTACCTTATATTTTTTCGCATTTTTTTCAATTGAATTATACGTTTCATCAAACTCACTAGTTTGGTACCGATATCAGTCATATTTGTGGAAGATTGTTAACGAAACCAGAATTATGAATAGGTATCTCAAACGTATCAATTAATCATGTAACCCTAAGTCCCTAATATAATTTTTTTTAGATTTCAAAATAATTTGCTGTAAAATTGGTCTTGTTTTGTGCATGACGATAAAAGGTAACCCAACCTAACTCTTGATCTTTTGATCTTCATTGGTATCATTTATCTGAGATAAACGAAAGTAATATTTACCTTTAAGGGGGAACCTTTTGGCAATCCTATTCCATATCCATCTTCCCCAAATGTCTGAGAAAGCAACCGAAGTCGACATTTTGGGTCTAGTTTTACTCGGGCATAATCGAGTATTGGGTTATCTCCAAGATATGCATCCAATTCATTATTTCTGAAAACACAAAAGATTTTTATTTAAGAAGCCACAACAACCATCTTATAGATTGAAAAAAAAATGTCAATAATGTCATAATGTCATACAAGTATGGTTAGAGAGTTGATCAGATTTGATGTTAAGGCATCGGGGCTTAATATAGCAAAAAAAAAGTACAGATGTGGTTTCAATATGAAAACAACAAAAATGTACTTAACGCATTAAGCAAAAACAGGAAGAGGAAAATACGTTTTTGCTAGTCATCATTCTTGAAGTCATAAGACATTATATAAACAAATAATTAAGTAAACTTATAAGCTTATATATATATATATATATATATATATATATATATAATGTTCTTATAGCTTGGATTTCTCAATGACATATTCCCCCTTTCTATAGTTACTTATTTCTTATTAGAGTAGAAAGTTTGAGAGCTATTTGAGAATGGACAATTGATTTACCGAAATGTTGTCATACTAGACAAGACATGATTGTAAATGATTTAATGTGCGAGAGGAAACTGAAAAGCTATAGGATTATGTCTTCTCCAGCTAGAGTTAAATTAAAAGGATTTTTTTACGCTATCTATATAGCAAAGTAGTGTAATTCATTGCATAATTTGCACTAAGGCAGTTCGTTGTCGACCAGAGCAGTCTTATATTCCTATGATAAAAACACTGCAATCGACCATTAATTTAGATTATAATATCGGACGAGGAAATTTTGCACAGTTTTAATACATGTCTAAGATATGAGTAGCTAAATACTTGGAATAAGCGTCTTTCGAAACTACATAATTTAAACTTTTTTTATTACAGCGCTTCTAACGTTGCAGCGTAGTTAGGCATTTCTGGCTTTCAAATGTTTAGGTTGAACGTTCCTGATAAAGGTAAACATTATAGAAATGCGCTTCGAACGCACGAAATACAGAGTTTATTTTGAAGTCTTTTAGATCGTACCCATTTAATGTATTAACCAATTATAAACAATTCGACTTAATTATATACAACTGATTACATTTAATGAATATTACTCTTTAAATGTTAGGACTTATAACTTCTAAAGCTCGAATATTTAGCTAACGGACATGCTTCGGTCTCTCTGTTAGACAATTTTCATAAAGAGGATAATAATATTAATAATATTAATAATATATAACAATAGTACAAGAAAAAAAGGAATTACCAATTTTAGTCTGGGAAATATATATATTTATAATTAGTTGTAAGTGGTTTTGCACTACCTTTCAGTAACTGCGAGAATTCTTACAACAGGTCTTTTTGTTAGTATTTTGTGCTCTGATTCGATCTGATGAGTTGATATTTAAATAAGAAGATGTGCCAACTCTCCACCAGAGACCAAATGACGTAAAAGTTAGCAACCATAGGTCACCGTACGACCTCCGACAATGAGAAATAAACATTCCGCATAACAAGCTATAAAAGGCCCCGAAATGACGAATGCAAAACATTTCAAACGAGAAAACGATAGGCCAGCTTTATGTACAAAACAATTAATACAAAAACAAATATGATATACAGGAACAAACGACTACCAATGAATTGCAGGCTCATGACTAATTCTGGTTATTGAAATGTTATGTACATATTTATATATTCCACATGTTAAGTATATATTAAAGTCTAAACGTTTATGAAAGTCTACTTGCATTAGAACAAAAAATAAAATAAACCTACATTGATAGACAAATTTCATTAAAACATTTAGGAACCATCTTTACCTATGTAAGAAGTGTTCAATGAAATACTCGGTTTTATTCCAGAAGAAGTAAATATTAGAGGCAACAGTAGTTTACCGATATTCATATCTCATAAATCCATTAAAATAATACTAATAAAGGTAAAACAATAATAAACACTGAGGTACCCAAAAGAATTCCAAAAGGTCACAAGCCACACGAATCCATACTCAGTCAAAATGTCACAATCGTGAATAAGACACAAAAGTTTGGCTTGGCTCTATAAAACAAAATTCGTATCGAGCGTTGCAAAGGAAAAGGAAACAGAAGTTATACTTTGATTTCAGCAAAAACCAATAAACATTGGCATAAAACATCTTATATTATTTGTTTATATCTAAAACCTAAAATATATGTATTTATCTGTAAATTTTCGACTTCTAATAAATGTGTTTATATCGCACAGATTACATAAGAGCATTTTAATCATTATTTAGTCTGTATCCTGACTGAAATTGCCTTTCAAACAAGAATTTTTCTAAATCAATCTTCAATATAAGAAAATTAAACCACTGAATAAAAGGACAGATTGCCATATAAAGTCATGTCAATTAGTTCCACACATGATTTTATCGGAAGCCCGTCTATCAGAACGGAGTACGAGAAGTTAAACAGGTTATATTTTGAAATGATGCTAATTGGCAAAGTAATGCAACATCAACCTATGGTTCATAAACAAAAATGATGTTAATTAATCATAAATGAGATAATATACCAATGGCTAATATGAAAGTAAGTACTAAAGAGACAACCAACTATACCAATGGCTAATATGAAAGTAATTATAAATGAGACAACCAACTATAGCAATGGCGACCATGAAAGTAATTACAAATGAAACAGTCAAATATACCAATGTCTACCATGAAAGTAATAACAAATGAAACAGTCAAATATACCAATGGCTACTATGAAAGTAATTACAAATGAGACCGCCAACAATACCTATGGCTAATATGAAAGTTATTATAAATAAAACAGCCAACTATACCATTGGCTATTATGAAAGTAATTACAAATGAGGCAGCCAAATATACCCGATGGCTACTATGAAAATAATTACAAATGAGACCGCAAAACAATACCAATGGCTAATATGAAAGTAATTATAAATGAAACAGCCAACTTTATAAATAGCTTCAATGAAAGTAGTAACAAATGAAACAGCCAACTATACCAAAACCTACTATGAAAGTAATTGCAAAAGAGACAGCCAACTTAAACAATGGCTACTATAGTAATGACAAATGAGACAGGTTAACTATACCAATGGCTACTATAAAAGTAATTACAAATGAGACAGCCAACTATACCATTGGCGACTATGAAAATAATTACAAATGAAACAGCAAGCTATACCAATGGCTACTATCTACAGTAGTTAAAAATGAGACAGCTTAACTGTACCAATGGCTACTATGAATGTATTAACAAATGAGACAGCCAATTATACCAATGGCTACTATTAAAGTAATTACAAATGAGACAGTCAACTATACCAATGGCTATTATGAGAGTACTTACAAATAAGACAGCCAACTACACCAATGGCTACTATGAAAGTAATATACAAATGAGACAGTCAACTATACCAATGGCGACCATGAAAAAAATTACAAATGAAACTATAAAAGATTGTATTTCTTTTTACATGTTTTAACAAATTGAGGAACGTTCTATACGCAAATCAAGAATAAACCCCTTCCCTATTCCTTCATTATATACCTATATGGAGTTATTTTCTTTCAGAACGATAGGTCTTTCTTTTGAACAATAAACCCGGACGATACCAAGTTTCAATGAAATTTGCTTCAAGGCATAAAATAATGACCTGTGTAAGTTTATTATTTTCTCTGATTAAAATGCAAACTGTAATATACTGGTTTTTTTATAAATTTTTACTTGGATGGAGAGTTGTCTCATTGGCACTCATACAACATCTTCTTATATCTATTAAACATGTAATTCGTTTGATAGTTATCGTGTGTTGTTGCCAATTTGGGTTATACTTCTTAATTTTCCATCTTTAATGGGTTTAAGGCAGAAACAATCCTTTCCTTCGTTTATTAGACTGAGATACCAAAAAATCGTCGTTGACGCACATTTTTAACTTTCGAAACAATTATGTGAAATTTTGTTAATTTATCGCTACAATAAAGGGACATTATGTGAGATGAATTCAATAATGCAAAACTTTTCATAACACTTTAAAAACTAGCCAGATTTAACACATTCGAGAGTAGGATTTTGACATTCTTATTGATTCACATTGTATTGGAAATCATACTTTGACCTATGGATATTCAATTTTGTGTTATATGTACATATACCACGATTTGTTGTTCTCTTCGTGCCAGTTCATAACTTTTTACATCTACACAAATTACCTTTTACTCCATCAAATGATCAAATGAGCAAAAATCATAATTTTCTACAGAAATAAAACCACATACTTTATAATTGGGTTTGGAAAGGGGGGGTTATAAGATTTAATCTTAATTCTCAGTTTAAAAAAATGTATTGCCAAGCAAAAGAAAGAAAACAATTATTCGCAATCGTTCGTTTAAAAATTGTTGAAAAATTAATCTGCTTTCCGCGAAAAAAAAATAATAGCATTCCCCTTTCAAAAAGTTAGTCAGTGATACAATAAATTACTTACAAAGTTACCTGTATTTTGCATACACCGTAACAATTCATGGCGTGTGTCTTGCTTCTTGCAGTGACAATATATTTTTATTGTAACTAGATAATGATTTCTAAAGTTTGTGATTAATTAGCGAGTTTTATTTCACATTATAAATGAGCCGTATGGCGTATTAAAACCTGAACGCATCAAAAAAGAATATCCCACTTTTTGGTCTATGATATATGATGCAAATCCTATAAATCATTGAACAAAATAATTTTTTAGCAGTATATAAGTCAGATAATACATATTTTAAGGTTTCTCTTGTATAACACACCTCAGGGTGTCAGAATTGCCCCAAAAAAGGTCTTTTATTTGATCAATCCTGACCTCCCTCTGTGAGTTATACGACAAGAAAAAGCTTAAAATATGCATTATCTATAACGTAATCTATTTCCAAAGGGGTAAAAATAAGGTCACGATCTTTTTGGTTGTTTGTGAAAGCAAGTAAAAGACCATCCATTCATATGCAGTTAATATAGCCTAAAGATCCGGTTTCCTGTTGCCAATACTTTCCATCTGTCCCAATGCCATTCGTCCATGAACTTATAGCAAATACTCAAAAAATTGTACCAAACTTATTCAAAATTTTCATTTTGGTTTTTAGTTTTAAAATGGTCTCTCATGTTTTCGTCAAAAAACTAACATGGCTGTCATCATTAAAAATAAAACGTACATATCTAAATTAGAAAAAAGTGGGTAAAACATGTAAGTTAAAAATGATACACCTAGACATAAAGAATAGTCATTCTTAGGATCAAATGTGATGACTATATTGATGTTTTAGTTTTGAAAGAGCTGTGTTGGTGAGCTTAAATGCCATCAATATGGCGCTACCCCTTGATCGAGTGCAAACTGTTGTACATTTTAACTAATAAAAAAAAACTTTCAGAACAATTAAGGATGTACACCTCTGAGGAGCCAAAAATTTCTACAATTAAACTTTTTTTCTTAACCTGATTTTTGGGTTTATATGACTGTAAAAAAAATAATTGGTGAAGAAAAAATCATATGGTGGTGCACTTTTTTTTTTTTGCTACGGCCCTTTAAAAGTACCCAATTTTGATGATTTTCCCATTTTTCATCAATTTTTACCCATTTTGGGGCTATTATCGTGAAAAAAATCACAGTTCCACAATTTAACTTTTTCATACTTTCAATAAACATCATGAAAGTGGACCAATCTGAATAAATTTAACTTAAAAAAACTATAGGTAGGTGTTAATATAAGAAAGTTTTATCATATTTTGATGCTTTTTCGTGTCAAATTTACCTTGCTGTCAATTTTGTAAATTTGTGATTTTTCTCTGTTTTAAGAACAAAATGCATATTATTTCAACTTCTTTGTTATAAATGATTGAAAAAATATATATCTAAGAAATTTGAAAAGAAAAAAGTGATATGGGATGTACATGTTTCTGGTAAAATCATTTCTTGTACCCCTCACCCATTTTCTCATAATGTTGGCTAAAAAGACTGACTTGATTGGTAATAAAATTTGAAAAATTTATTACTCAAAAACTACTTATTGTAAATACACAATTTTTTCACAGGGTTAAGTTTAATTATGATATTTATTAAACTCATTGCTATTTTCCACTTGTATCACATGTTTTGGAAATAATTCCAGAACGAGATTTCAACGAGACTGAAACGTCAGAAGAATACATCCTAAGCGAATTATAGAAATATAATAAGACTCTAAAAGACTTAAAACATATTTTTAGAACGAAAGAAAGTTCTTCAACTAATTTGTGCGATTTTAGGAGCTAAGTGACTTTTATAGCATTTACCTTATTACATCCTCTTGAATGTATACTATTTTACGTATTATAGCGATTTCAATACGCACACAACGTGTTTCTAGTGGAACCTTCACCAGTTCGATGCAAACGATGTCAATCGTTTGGAAGGACCAAAACCACGCGGACATATACAAAACAGTCATAACAATCTATGATCTATATTGTTCAAGGGATTTGCGAACTAAGCTTGATTCTAATTTATAGTTTATTACCTGCAAAATGTATTCTTCTGTAGATAATGAGTTGATATTTAGAACTCCATAAAATTAGAGATGCAATAGAATAAAATACGATATCAAGAGTGTAGTAAACATTCGGAGCAAGAAGAAAGACAGACACCGCCAGTGCATAAAATTAAAAATAGAACACAACAGTAACCCTAGTACAAACCGAAATAATTCCTACACCACACGTGTTTAATCATTTAAAAAAATTGTTTACCTCTTTTTGACCTTATTTTTGAATCTTAACTTTGAAATTGAAAATGTAGGAAATTTCAGTTTCCTTTTGATAACACATAAATTGTACTGATATTCAATATCTTAAAATCCAATGATTACTAAGTATTTGCAAATGCCCAATATAAGAGTATTCGCAGTTACTGACTTTGGACAGGCAGATAAATAATGTGGCGGGGTTAAACATGTTTGTCAGCGCTCAACCCTCCCATAACCCGAGACAGTGGTATAACAGTACAACGAACTAAAAATAAGTTGCAAATGACTTAACTCAATGTATCGATAAGAAGCACAAAAACAACTAACATAAAAACAATAGACCGAAAGCACCGATATAAGAGGATAGTTAGTTCAAAGCCAATTACAACTAATAAATAAATCCAAGACTAAAGTATCAATCAGTACATATCCAACGGATTTATTGTAAAGACGTCATAAACAGTCTGTGAAACGCATGACCTTGTGCAATGCCAAAATAGAAGTAAACAGTATCGACAGGATGTGGGATTATGAGTACTCACAACTGTTACTATATATATATAGAGAGAAAACAGTCTAAATTGAAAACAACGTTCAAACCTAAAAGTATGGTTGCGTTGGATAAAAACCGCAATTTTTATACGTGTGTATGCAAAACAAATTTGTTGGTAAAGGGGTCTAAATACAGCACACACAACATTTTCCAAAAGACCAAAAAGTGACAAAGTATATTTTAACAAAACGCATTTGACTAGCAGGTCGAACAACGGATGTTCTTAAACCCTGCTGACTGCAATTGGCGATTGCCAAATAAAATGATCAACAGATGTAACAAAATGGATCTTAAATATTAATTTAATATCAAACAGAAAAACAATAAACTTGCGAAAAAGATGGTAAACCGCAAACAAAAGGTGCAAAAATGAGTACACCATATCCGGATTTCGACAATTAATGTCTCTTCAGTGATGTTAGGAATCGAAACGGTATTTGGAAGGCCATATAATTTACCTCAATTTAGGATAGACTATTGAATTTTGAAGAGTCGAAATAGGATGAACGGATCATATAAACCCTAAGGCAAATATAATACAAGCCCAAACGAAAAAATATAAACCAGTCTAAATTGAAAACAACGTTCAAACCTATGATTGCGTTGGATAAAAACCGCAATTTTTATACGTGTGCATGCAAAACAAATTTATTGGTAAAGGGGTCTAAATATATAGAGAGAAATATATATTTAGTTATATGTTTCAATTTTCAAGATGCCGGCATTTAAAGGTGTCGAATGGTTACTAGCATGGGTTTTATTATATATGCTGCAGTAGTTTTATCTGGTGGATTCCTTCGATTATCGTTCTTTAAATTAGGAATTGATACCAATTTGCAATAAACTATCCTTGGAGTGTGCTTAAAAATTTGTTCCTGTAGAAAAGTAAGCGTACACATACTGAAAATAATCTATCTTCATATCAAAGAGACAGAAATTTCGTGCTGATATCCATAAGGAAGTTTGCTATTTCAATAAAGTTGACAATGGTTATATCTTACATTAACATTTTTATTCCTTCATCAGAACTTGGCACCAGATGTCGGTGACTGACATGGTACAGTTTAGAGTTCAATTTGCTCAAAGTTGTATCTACAGCACTGCCTCCCAAAGTTCCAACTCGAATGCTCAATAACTGAAATATATAAATCATTAGATTATGAAACCGACAAGAGATTGATATCATACACGTTAATTAATTTAGACACGCAGATACTATTGGTTGAGTTTTGGGTGGGTTTTGGGTGCGAAGATACAAAAATAACATCTGTCATGCGCTTAAAATAATCTGTATAAACAACCTAGTTGTATCGAACCTTTAGGTAAATTGATTTCGCATAATTTCGTTTAAAGTCTGTGCAGAATTATTCACAGAGGAATTGAAAATGGAATATTACGAAAGCTAAAGCGTCAAATGAGAAATTGCTATTTATCAACTAGACAGACCAAAGGATTTTATATTACATATCCAACACCTTAAGAGTGGATAAATCAATTTGCCTTCCCCAATCAAATGGTTACACAAAAAAAAAATCATTGTTATTTTAGTTAATGGCCTTGTAAGGATGTAGCCATTTTATATTCTAAACACATCTGTGTTAATAAAACCAAAAACAAAAGAGGAACTGAATATTTCTAGAATTTTTTTCAACCATGAGTTTATAGATGCAATGGGACAAAGGAAACACTGCCGTATGCCAAAAAAGAACGACACAAATATCGCTTTTCTTTATTCAAAGCTTTGACAGAAGTCTTTGATAATTAGTAAAATCTAAATTCTATAAACCATTCCCATATATCTTTATACGTACATTTAGTATTGTTCTACCTACCTATCTACCTAGTCATTGTTATGCCAGAAGACACATAGGGCATCTAATATTAAACATAGTAAAAGCAATAAGATGGGACACAATTTCTTATATTTCCTTGTATATGTAGACATCGCATACCGTTGAACCGGACTGACTTTGATTTAAACAATGTTTTATCGGCTTTTTCTTCATCAATTCTACAATAATTGATCTGTTGTATATAATTATCTTTGATATGTCTTGTTTTCCACTTCTAAAAGATATGTCACCAGCTTAATAGATAAAATAGTTGTTATAGTTACCGAAGACTAATTATTAGTGACATTCTAGGCCATTGTTACAGTTAACGGAGACTAATTATTTGTGACATTGAAGGCCAATAATCATTGACATCGAACGATTCCATAAATGTCTAAGGAAATCAAATTACTTGAAAGAAATTACTATCTGCATCACAATATGCGGAGCTTACTACTACAATATGTGTTCCAAACGATATTAGAGATTGGTTCTTTTTTTTAACTGATTTTAATGAATTAAATATCGAACTACAATTACGTGATCACAGATTCTCCCTAACACAGCTACATGTACCATGCATATTAAGGATTAGCAATGTAGCAGGGAATTTGTTTTTATATTATTTTTTAGTTTTGTCATTTCCAATTGATGTAAGACACAAATATGGGACTCCATTTAAATGATTTTAAAAGAAAGGCAAAAGACACCAAAGGAACTTTCAAACTCATTAGTCGAACTAACTGACAATGGCATGACAAAAAACTAAAACGATTAAAAGACAAACCACAGTATACAAAACAAAACATAGAAAACCAAAGAGCAACACGAACCCCACCAAAAACGGGGTGAGGTGGTGATCTCATATGTGCTCATAAAGGCTAAGCAGATCCTCCTCCACATGCAACGCCCTTCGTGTTACTCTTTTAAAATAGTTTAAGTTATATGAAGTGATTAGGCATTACACAATAGCGGATTGGTAAATGACTTTTATCTAATCCTAAGACATCACCAAATTAATAAACCGTCTATCGTGTAAATTTTCAGACCCTAAAACTTGACCGAATGTGAAAATATGAAATAGAAACACGTTTTTAATGACAAAGGAAAGACAAGACTGTATTAATAAACAAAACATATATTGAAAAATTAAAAAGCACAAAAAAAAATAAATAAATAAAGCAAGACAAACAAGAACTCTTTTTAAAACAAAACTAGGGGTGATCTTAGTTGCTCCGGAATGGTATTAAGTAGATCATGCTCCGCATATGGCACCCAGTCGTGTTGCTCATGTAAGTACAAACCAGGTGATAAGTCTAATTCGGTAGGTCACATTCGAGGTAAGGAGGACATGATTACGCTTACGATCCGCCGTCATCTGCGAAACATATTACATAACGGCCAACCAACCAACAATCGTTGGCGCTATTTTGGATAGTATATAAGTCCAATACTTGTATAGTATGTATCGAGGTGCTCACAGTAACTTCTACATTCAACACGTTCTGCATTGTACATCATTGACAGTATATTATATTGATTTAGTGTATAGCTAGATTTGTGCTTCGATAGAGATATTTGTAATATTTTGTTATCTTTATTAAATGTCATCATACAGAAAATAGTAAGTTTCTGCGAGCAAACCAAATCCTACTTTATGACTTGCCTCTTACTTAGCCATGTATATAGATAAGAAATGAATTTATGAGGAAGAATTTAAGGCTGTTAAAAGTCTGCTTTGTACTAGACCGACTTTTGACGTGCTAGTTAACAAGGCAACAGTCTACAGGAAGACTCGTCACCATAACCGTACACATTGTTAAGCCGACCAGTCTTTTGTCTTACTCTTGAACGCCAATTGCATAGCAAAGGAACAGAAAATGCCAATTCTTTGGTTTGACCCGACCGGGTAGCGAACAGACGAACTCCCGCAAGGCGAGCACGCTACCAGGAGACAGCCAAGGCGGTTGAAAGATGTCTTTTGACATAATTTGATAATAAGTTTATTCAATGAGTCATGTAGTTTTTTTTATAGATTGTATAGCATCACATTTACATGGGCTGTAAGCATAAGATATTACGTTTTATGTGTGATTTTAACTTCAGACTTGTCGTAATGATTGTTCCCTGTGTGCAAACTAATTGGAATTGACTGATCACACCATACAAAAATCTAGGGGAGCACTTGATTATTTTCTTTTTAAGTTATAACAATTACATTATGTGACAGAAGGAAACACATGTTAACTGATTATTTCTCTATTGTTTAGATTGTATACCTTACCAGCATAGTCTTTTAAAATTAATGAAAATACAAAACAATCTTGCATTTCTTCCGTATCGGGTAGGCGAAAGATAATAAAGGGACATTCAAACATCCATAACTGTATAATAATAAAGTCTTTTGTTTTTTAACTTTTCAATCTGATGTTAAATAAGATTTGACAGATGGTTAAAAATAGTAAAACAATCAATCTAACACTTCTGAATTGCAAAAACTATAAACTGAAACATTATAAAGTTGTTTTCCCAAATCTAATTCAAGAAAAATTATTGTGCTTTGCAAAGTTAAAAATCCAATTTACTTTGCTACTTTTTTATCAAACCTGTAAATTCCCAATACATTCTTCCGTGGAACAATGGAGCCCTCGGCAATTTGTTAATACACCCAGTTGCTCTTTGCTCTTACCTAAAGTGTTTATTTCCATTATCGGAAATGCATTTATACAGCAGTATAAAATATTTGATTTTAGTAGCATGTTCTTGATTTATGAGGACATTTTATACAAATATTAAAAACTGTCATTTCCTTAATGGAGAATATCTGTAGTTTAGCCACGTCCTGCTTTTGGTATTGTTTTTACATGTGATTGTGATTAAAGCCAAAGTGTTTTAAATAAAGCTTTCTTTTGTTTCATGAACATTTTGTTTTGTATCATAATTAAATAATAAATGAGGGTACGTGACCTTTCCAGTTTTATGTAAGAGAGAGGGGAGATAACAAAGGGATAATCAAATTTATAAGTCGATGACAAGCTGACAACGCCATGTCAAAAACTCCGAATAAACGACCAAAAGACAAGCAGCAGTATACAAAACACAACATATAAAACAAAAGACTGAGCAGCACGAACCCCACTAAAACCACAACCAATATTGTTTCCTCTAAACATGAGGGGGGACCATAAACAAACGTGTCTATATCAGGTGCTTCGAACAGGTCGAAAGGGTCAGCGAATCTTATTTAGCATCTGACTACTCTCGTAGTCTTAGTTAATAATGAATTAAACTCGATCAGAACAAATTTTGTAATGCACTAACACACTTTTTAGGCCACAAATTGTTATCTACTGGATATAATAACAATCGACAAATTTGTGATGGCGGCCGTATAAAACGTCTGATGTTAAGGCTGAATATAATTCTTTTTTTTACCTTGAAGATTAAATTAAAGTACGATATTTTTTAACACACTGTTTAACCTTCAATGGCGTTTTTCAATGGCATGAGATATGGTTGATAAACTAGAGAATGGACGGAATTTGTTACGCAACAGAAATGACAACTGCATCAAAATAAATATATATATTCAGGAGCCTGTAATGCATTGGAGGTGTAATACCACCAAATCATAGTACGTCACGTCACTTCCGGTTGTATACGAAAATAGGTCGAAAAAAAATATTCCCTTGAATTTGACAGTTGTAGGTAATTGATCCTACATTTCATTACAGTAAAACATTTCTGGGTCATAAACATATATCTTGGGTATTTCAAAGCACCATTATATTTTTATTTGGGGTTTCTATAGAATATTTTGGAAACTTGAGGTTACATGGTTACTAAAGCTTGTACACAGGTTAAAAAAGGGGGAAAATTTGATTGGTTTACTTCCAGTGATGGTTATTTTCTTATATGCAATGAAATGTTATGTGAAATTTTTTCTATACTACTGGACAGGATAAAACTTAACTCATGCCAAGTATTTCTTTATTTGAAACAAAGATAAATTCTGCACAATTTTTTGAAAAGTGCAAATTTAACAAAGACTAATAGGGGAAAATCAATGGTGGTATTACACCTGGACAGTGCAGGTTGTCATTTGTTGTTGTATATCATATTTGTTTTTCGATAATGTTTTGTACATAAATCAGGTTGTGAGTTTTTTTCGATTAAATTGTTTTACATTTGTCATGCCGGGGCCTTTTATAGCTTGCTGCTTGCTATGCGGTATTGTTATTTTTCAATTAAAAAAAAAAAATGTTTAATAATGGACTGTCCTTTTTGAAAATCTTGGACCCTCCGCTGTTCCTGATATAGGGTGTATACATATCTCATATCCTATTAAAAAAGTTTTAATTAATTTGCATTAGGAAACCGTACTCTTGATTTTTTAATCCCAGCCAAAATTACTTGATTAAACTTACCCGTGGATCATGAAGGTCATTGTAATTAATCCCAGCATGCTTCCCAGCTATATAAGCGGCAAGGTTGGCAGTGTATGAAGCCATGATGAAAATACACGCACAAGCCCAAAAGTTTTGTAAAACCTTGGTCGGCCATGATTTTGGTGATTTGGTCTTAACTGTATGACCAAATAATAACGAGTAAACCATAGTTAATCCCGATGCTAAACAATAGTTCGATTTACGTTTTCGGCCCCAAGGATTTAGACCAAAAGGACTATTCCATTCGAATATAGATGAGCAAATTCCACTAATAGTTGCAGAAATAAATATAGAATACCATACGTAAGAATGAAAAGGTTCCAGAAAGGCATGCAAAATGCTATATCCTATTTTTTCATGATACAACACAGAAAATCCAGAAAAGAAATAGGGATATGTAAAATCGATCACTTCTAATCTCGGTCTAGTAATACTGAATGCCCCAATGGCCATATGAGCTGTGCCTTCCATCAGATCATATACCATTCCCGTCCATGAGCCATTTATTTTCTTTCCGTATTCGGTATCTTGAACTACATACATAGTGTATTCAAAATTAAGATCCTCGGCAAGTTTATCCAGTAGATCAACTGTTAGTCCCCGACAACAGCTTATATTATAAGGATTACTAGCATTAACAGTTCCATTGTCAAAATCCCTGAGTGCTTTTATAGTAGCTATTTTGTCTTTTGTTGTTAGCTCCAAACATGTGGTGTACATAGCACACTGTCTCGTATCAGAATCGAGTCCATACTCTGAATTTTTTATAACAAATGGTTTCACAGGGTTTGTAACGATCCGGTAATGCTTTTTATTGTTCCTAATATGTGTCTCTATTGGTTCGTCGGGCCAAAGAATACCGAAAGGATGTACGTCATCACCCCTTACATAGCCTATTCTACGCCATGTACTTTTTCTTCCTTTTCTAACGAGATGACGAACATCAATAGTATTCCTTTGTAATATTCCATTTGAATCAAATTTCATTGGACCGGACACACCTTCTATAGACGCTTCCATCATTTTTCTGAAATGAAAACAACTAATCCTTACAAGTAAGCAATATTTATCGTTCTTCCCTACTCTTATATAACCCTGCTCGATGGCTGCGTAGTTCTCGTATCAGAGCGTTGTGATGTTAGAACAGAACTTATCAGCGACCTCAAAATATGAAAGCAGAAATTATCAAGCTTACTTCTTTCTGAACAGCCAATAGGAAATATGAATAAAGGGACAAAAAGGACAAGAATAAGAACGATCAAAAGATTATTAAGTTTTTGGCATATAGATATCGTAATGTATCTGCCGCTTGACACAAGGGAAAGCTTATTGGTTCATTTGCTGCGCTCATTCGTCAAAAAGATTCACTTTATGTGTGTGCAGCTGGTACTTCACGATATCAATGTCCAGAAAACTTAAAGTCAACTCAAATAGGCAATGAGGAAAACAACGCGAAATACTGGGATAGATATGTCTACGTCCCATTTAACTGTCAGTGTAGGACGAGAAAAAACGTCAATTAACATAAGGATTGCTTAATAACTACGTGCTGTACATGTGTACATGCATTGAGTGCAATTATCGAAAAAGGATATCTTTAACCATACTCTACATTGTCAAATTTAATTATATCTAAGCTAAACCAGGACCTAGATATTCATTTTCTGTAATTGACTTGAATAATGCATGTTTCCTTGTTCGTTCTTTTTGGTAAACTGCGTTGTTAAGAACCACATTGATTTCATTAAACCAAAATATCGAGGAAAGAGTTGATTTCTTTAAAAGTGCAAGTTCCTTTATTGACAACATTTTATCGAATGGCTATATTCAAACTAGAAGTTTTGTTGTTTAGTCTGCGATTCGGTGACTTGCTTTCGCACTGTTTTGGGATTTATTGATTATTTTTGCTTAACATTCAGTAGAAAATATTACATGCATGTTTAGGACGAGAACAATTTGACAATTAATCCACCAGGTAGGTTCTGCAAAGTGGGTTTACTACGATAAAGGGCGGGAATTTCACCTACCACTGGAAAACGAGTTAGTTTAAACATATTATGGAAAACGAGTGCACATGGGACTAAATTCTTTCTTATTTTGTTATCCATTATCTGTACAATAGTAATCAAGTGTTAGTATGCTATCTTTGATTAAAGGGGCATTAGCTGTCAAATTCATGTTCACCGATTTGACTAAATTTCTCATATTTGATTTATAACACTAAAACGTATATCCAAATAACAAAAAGTCTATAATAAACAATCAACAATGCATGGACTCGATAATATGTATCGGCATTTCGTGTGTATTTTAGTCTAGACGCCATCTAATTTATAACAATCGAGATCACCGATATAAACATAAAATATGAATATAAATAGATAGCGACCACGTGCAATTGGAATTTTTGTAGGTCTGTTTGATATCATATTGTAGGTTAAAAATATGTTTATCATCGTTTTTACCTGTATAAGAATGATTTTTTTGTGGATCGATTCAGTCAACCAAATGGTTCATCCTTGTTTCACTTTCAATGTTGACATTCTTTTTCTTTTAATAGATGAATACATGCGCAACCCATCTCCAGCTAAGGGGTTAAATTGAAGGTCACATGAATACGGATTCAATTAGGTCGAATTATTAACTTGCAAGTGAATAATTCATCATCGATGTTTTATAGCTTATTTTAACAAAATTTAACCAAACTGGCTGCTAAAAGCGAATTATTATTTAACTTTCATTAATGATTGAACAAAAAAAAAATGATATTTTATTTTTTATATATCTGGTAGCTAATGCCCCTTCAAGACTTTAAAAAGAGTCTTCAAAATTAATTAATTATCTTTGTCATGTGTAGTTCTTTGCAAATCATTTCTAAAAGCTTCCTCTAATAGTAGACTAAAGTTGGTCGTAGTTACGGAATCGAAAAAAACCAACAACCAAATATCACATAAATATCCAATGAGAATATCTTTTTCTTAGCAGATGGGAAGACCACTCGTCTTAAATTAGAATGTAACAGTCAACTGCAAACAATTGAAAAAAATGAGTTGTCGCGTTCAAACCTATCATTTATCATTAAGGGATTCATTTCCATATACACATACCTGTTATTTTTCAACAGAATAGTATATGGTAATGTAAGAGAAAAAATGCGAACTGACGTTTCTCAAATTAACCAGGTTTGTCATATTTTCATACAAAACTTCATGTTTGTAGCTGCACTGTGCAGGTCTTTTATATTGTGTTTTATTTTTCTTGTGTCTTGATAAACAAAAGGGAATGTTTGTGCTAATGTAAAACTGGTTTAACCTGTGTCTGTACCAAGTCAGGGTATCTGGACTGGTTTAACCTGTCTGTACGTACCTGGACTGGTTTAACCTGTGTCTGTATCAAGTCAGGGTACCTGGACTGGTTTAACCTGTGTCTGTACCAAGTCAGGGTACCTGGACTGGTTTAACCTGTGTCTGTACCAAGTCAGGGTATCTGGACTGGTTTAGCCTGTCTGTACGTACTTGGACTGGTTTAACCTGTGTCTGTACCAAGTCAGGGTACCTGGACTGGTTTAACCTGTGTCTGTACCAAGTCAGGGTACCTGGACTGGTTTAACCTGTGTCTGTACCAAGCCAGGGTACCTGGACTGGTTTAACCTGTGTCTGTACCAAGTCAGGGTTTCTTGACTGGTTTAACCTGTGTCGGTATCAAGTCAGGGTATCTGGACAATGTTGTTCGATGTTGTTTTTCTTTGTGTGTAATTTTATTTTTTGGGAGTAGTCGTTTGTTGATGGCTGGTGTGGTCTGTTATACTGTCCATGTCGTTGGCATTTTCTGTTTTCCTTTTTATGTATTATTCGTTTTATTTGTTTAGTTATTATAAATGTATATAATATATTTGCATACAAACATATCTTTCTGTGAATCATAGAGAGTAAATGAGCTTTTTTTTATACATTGTAACTTACTTGTAAAAAAAGAGGCCTGGTGATTGTTCACTACTTGAAACTGTCCGACAATCATGGGTTACTGGCAGTGAAAAACTTCTAAAATCTTTTGGTATATTTATTATTGCCTCTACAACCACGTTAATACTATCTTTAAGTATATCCTCCAGATATGTCTGTTCACTGATCGTCACAGCCAAAGCTCCAGTGGGATAATATTTTAACAAAGCCCTTTTGCGTGTAAACACTTTATCCGTCAAGAACCAGGAAATACTAGAATTCATCACAAAATTTGTACATCTAAATATCACCTTTGCTAAATCGGGGTTTGTATGTAAAACAACGATTTTGCGTTCATTCCTGAATATATTTGCTATCAAATTGCATATATTGGTACATGGCCACCTCGAGGAAATAAAATAAACAGTAATATTCCATTTCTTTTCACTTAAACGTAATTTGAGCTCACTGTAAAATCCGTCGGAAATATATTCTTTTTCAATTAAAAGCACGAATTTGAACCAGAAATTTGCCGAGAAAAATTTTGCTACTCCTCTGGCTATCTGTGAAATGGTGGGTTCCATCTGTAATTGTAGACTTTTTCTAACCTGAATTATAAAATAATAGTGAAAGAAATTTTAATCTAGTTTTATTGTGGAAATATTTTTAAATATAACTCAAAACTGCAGAATCCTTTTTTTTCGTTACCATAGAAAGTATTATTACTATGAGGTGTAAGAGACAATATACATGTACACAAAATCCATTGGATGTTGGATGTGTACTGATTGATATTTTAGTCTTAGGTGCATGATTTTTTTTATTAGTTGTTATTAGCTCTGAACTAGCTATCAGTAACTGCGAGTACTATCAGATCATCTGTACTTAGCGTCTTTTCTGTTGTTGGGATGTATAAATACCCTGCCACGTCCGGTCTGTGTTTTTGTTAAATGTTTTTCTGCTTTGTATTGATCTGATGAGTTAAGCCCTTTTCAACTGGTTTTTATAGTTTGTTCTTAAGTTGTACTGTTACACCACTGTCCCTGGTTAGAGGGAGCGTTTGTCGCCAGTAAACTAGTTTAACCCCGCCAAATTCTGACCTTTTATAGCCGACTATGCGGTATGGGTTTTATTCATAGGAGAAGGTTGTACGATCACCTATAGTTTTTTTACTTCTATGTCATTTCGTCTTTGGTGGACAGTATAATTTGGCCAAGTTATCAATCTAGGAAGAAAGAAAACCATACCGTAAAAGGCCCCGACATCATAAAAGAACAATAAAAATTAAAAAAAAACAGAAAAAAACAAAGCCTGATTCATGTCAAATGGACGAAAAACAAATAAAACGATCAGCAACCAACGACAACGACTTAATTAAAGGCTCATGACGTCTGGATAGTCTTGGTTTTGCTAGTGGGTTCATTAATGAATTTGTCTTGTGGTGTTCCTGTTTTTTCCGGAAGTGGAGAAAAGGGGACAAAGATATATGTACCTGAGACAACATTACCGTGATAAACTAAACTAAATAATCATATATCAAATGCTTTTATTGTTGTTTTTCATCTTTGTGGTAACTAATAATATAAGAAGTGATGTCTTCAATGATTCGTTACAGGAGAACTAACATTACCAATAAGATTTAGACGACTATCTGGTTTATTCATTTAGTCTTTTTCGATGGAGAGGGTCTGAGTTTTGATAATGAAATTTTATGTTACTTGGCTTAGTACTGACATTTTACTACACGTTATTTTACTTGGCTTAGTACTGACATTTTACTACACGTTATTTTACTTGGCTTAGTACTGACATTTTACTACACGTTATGTTAGTTGGCTTAGTACTGACATTTTACTACACGTTATTTTACTTGGCTTAGTACTGACATTTTACTTGGCTTAGTACTGACATTTTACTACACGTTATTTTACTTGGCTTAGTACTGACATTTTACTACACGTTATGTTACTTGGCTTAGTACTGACATTTTACTACACGTTATTTTACTTGGCTTAGTACTGACATTTTACTACACGTTATTTTACTTGCGTTAGTACTGACATTTTACTACACGTTATTTTACTTGGCTTAGTACTGACATTTTACTACACGTTATGTTACTTGGCTTAGTACTGACATTTTACTACACGTTATGTTACTTGGCTTAGTACTGACATTTTACTACACGTTATTTTCGTGGATCATGTATTTATACTTTATGAGATGAAAGTTTACTTGATAGTAACCATATGATGATGTGTTGAGTTTAATTTTTCAATATTTGCAGTTGGGTGTTCAATTCATACAAATGCTTATGTTTTATTGCCTGAAAGACGAATCATTTGATTCCGTCATATATTATCAATTTACAAAATTACTGTATGAAAATAACCCACAATTATAGAACTATTCGCCCCACCCCCCTTATATATCAAAACTTATTTTCAAGTCGTGTAAACAGTAATATTTTAAAACATCACAAATTTTATTAATTTGGAAAATTAGTTATAGAAATATGTAAAAATAAATTATTATCCTATAATATACATGTTAGATAGTTATTGAAATTTTATATATATTTAGCGAGCTATCTACTTTGAAATCGACATCTTCTTCATTCCAATTTCACTATATGACTTCATCTCACTAGACAATGTCAGCAGAACTTATAAGTTTAAAGTTTTACATTCAGAATTAAAATGTTAAAAACATATCTATTTTTTATTTCCAAGATCTGTAAATATAAGAACTGAATACTGTGTTTATGAAGATTTATACGACATGATAGAAAGTGACAATCACATTTTCAGTAAGAAGCTTTCAATTTTATAATGTTGTTTATGCCCCCATAACCTTCATCTTGTCCAATTTCTACAGCTACATAAATATCTTATCTTAGTTATATGTTATGTTTTTGTACAAAATGTCTTGTACAATCAATCATCTGGGTTTTTATTTTTATTTCAAAATCGTTTAATTCATTGCTTCCAATTACAACGCTTGAATTTTATTCATAAGCATCTTCTATTCAGTGAAAGAAACCTGTATCCCGCATACATATCATACCTCTTGGATACCGGACATTCTCTTGGAACTGAGTGTAAATAATAACTTATATTTCGTTATCCGACAGATTGTCATTTCTGATATCAAACCTATTATATAATGGCTGAACACAGAAAAGCTCAGTAGACTAAGAAGCGCCAAGAAAGTTGGTGGCGTCTATTAATCTATAACGAGATCATAAACATGAAATTTCTACTAATTCCAAACAAAGCGTCGTCAAAGCGGGGTTTTATAGTTTCTAAAAGGAACATAAAACCTTTGAATAAAACCTTTAAAAGAGAAATGCAGTTTACAGTCGCAGATAAATCGTTAAAAATAGCTGTATTGGTCTGAAATCAATATTTTGTTGTCTTTGATTGACGAAAGCATTTAGTTACTATGATAATTTCCTTCAATTAGGGTGTTTTCCATTCGTTTGATGTGTTTGAGCTTTTGATTTTGCCATTTGATAAGGGACTTTCCGTTTTGAATTTTCCTTGGAATTCGGTATTTTTGTTATTTTTTTTTTACTGAATTGTAAATGACGATATGTTTCCTTTCTTTTTACTATCAGACTTAATGCTCACCTATATGAAACTGAACCATCTTAGAAATCCATGAATATTTTCAGCACTTAATCGAAAAGTAAACTTTAAAGAAGTTAACCCTCTAAAAATTTCACGACCAATGCGAAAGCGCACAAAACTATAATGCAAACAGACAATGTATTAGAACTTAAGATAAGACTTCCGTAATCACGAGAAAAATGGCGATGCCTTTACTGAAGCTGAATCCTCTACCCTTCCGCAGCATCCGAGTTAATCCCTGGAATTGTGTGGGTTTCGTATTGCTAAATCTTAGTTTTCTGTGAAGTTATTTGTGGACCTTATTGTCTTTTCGTCGTTTCGGATTTGATCATGGTGGGCCCTGTTTTTCTCCTACTAATGGTTTCTTTGTGTAGCCTGTTTTTCTCCTACTATTGGTTTCTTTGAGTAGCCTGTTTTTCTCCTACTAATGGTTTCTTGGTGTAGCCTATTTTACTCCTACTAATGGTTTCTTTGTGTTGCCTGTTTTTCTCCTACTAATGGTTTCTTGGTGTAGCCTGTTTTTCTCCTACTAATGGTGTCTTGGTGTAGCCTGTTTTTCTCCTACTAATGGTTTCTTTGTGTAGTCGGGTTTTTTCCTACTAATGGTGTCTTTAAGTAGCCTGTTTTTCTCCTACTAATGGTTTCTTGGTGTAGCCTGTTTTTCTCCTACTAATGGTGTCTTTGAGTATCCTGTTTTTCTCCTACTAATGGTTTCTTGGTGTAGCTTGTTTTTCTCCTACTAATGGTTTCTTTGTGTTGCCTGTTTTTCTCCTACTAATGGTGTCTTGGTGTAGCCTGTTTTTCTCCTACTAATGGTTTCTTGGTGTAGTCGCGTTTTTTCCTACTAATGGTGTCTTTGAGAAGCCTGTTTTTTTCCTTGTTATGGTTTCTTGGTGTAGCCTGTTTTTCTCATACTAATGGTGTCTTTGAGTAGCCAGTTTTTCTCCTACTAATGGTGTCTTTGAGTAGCCAGTTTTTCCCCTACTAATAGTGTCTTAGTGTATCCTGTTTTTCTCCTACTAATGGTTTCTTTGTGTTGCCTGTTTTTCTCCTACTAATGGTTTCTGATTGCACCTTTGATATCTTCCTCTTTTTCAGCCGCTAATGAAAGAATCTTTTCTGCGTTTGTTTTAGTTTTCATTTTGTGGCGTTGTTATCTCATTACCATTTAATCCATGTAAATAATAAAACAAAACTAGAATTTACCAATTGTTACAATTTGTAACCGAGTGTGGATTTGCATGGCGGCTGATGCATGTTTATCAGGTGACGCTAATCCTGTCGACGCACCCGGTCTCACTCGTTTAAGAGTTCACGCTGTTCCCGCTGTTTTTGTTTGTTACGTTGATTTGTATCTGTTTAATCGATTTCTGAGATTTAAACATTAATAAACTACTGTTGCCTAAAATTTCACAGCAGAGCATTACATTATGCAGTTTGATATCAAAGATGACATTATCAATTTCGTTGATTTAACTTCGGGATTACAATATTGAAATTAGAAACAAGATTTTGCGTATTAAAATGATGTCTCCGAAGACATATTGATAAAATGATACTTTGAATACCAATAACTCACCAACAACTCGTTCATCTTTTGTTCATAAAAATTACATTACGCTGTAAAACCTTGTAATTCTCATAGCAATTATTTGGAACATATTAATTCAAATTTTCTCAAATAACATCTTAAAAAACAACATAAATAATCATTTAATCATAACAGTGAAAGTTTATCTATGAAAATTATATCTTATATTTAGTTTGTCGGTATTGCATGCAATTCTTCTTCAAGTTATATCAATTAAATATATCAAGTTATATTTTGAATTACAACAAAGGTTACATGTCAAATGAAAATCATTGTGTATAGTTAAGGTCATTTCAGCATTGTTTATCATTCATTTGAGGGAACATTTTCAATTTGAGTAAAAGATATTATTATTTGAGAAATACAGCAATATTCTTACGTCTGA